TTCAGATCCGCGTGATAGCAGACTCCGTCGGTGGACTCCATCGCCTTTGCGAGTTGCCGCGCCAAGCGTTGACGTCGCCTTTGGCGGGCTCTCTTCGAGAGAGTCACAACGCCCTCAACGGTGGAGGCGTCGGCGAGAACAGGGTTGACCTGGTTGGAGGTCAGCGGAACTTCACCCGACGCAACTTTTGCGTCAACTGGGGTGAGAGCTTCGTTGGCGTTCTGTACTTCTTCGTACCAACTAACTTTTCTCTTGGAGGAGAGCTTCTTGGACTTGCGGGGGGAGGTGGATCCGGACGAGGATGAAAAATACTCCTCGAACTTGGCCTGGTCGAATTCATACTCGACCTCCTCCTCGATCGGGATTGAGATCCGCGGCTGCGACGCGACGATCTCGGCAACGAGATCGTTGGCTCCCACTGTGGTCGCCAGATTTTTCGTGGGAAAAATTGTGGCTTTCTTTATTTATTCCATCGATTACAAAAATTCGGTCTTTTTATAAGATCCAGTTACAACGAGATCAAAAAAGAAATAAAAAATTACAACTTTCTTTTTTCGAACAAATCGCGAGCTCCTGTTTTGCGGTCACTCGCTTTGGTGGGTTCTTCGCCTGCGCTGGGGTTTATCCGTGGACTACCACGTGATCTAGATCCGGTCGGATCTACACGATATAACGGGTATTATTTCGCGAAGGAAATAATAGCCGGGGGGGATTAATTCACAATGGCCGGCCACCTCAAGGTGGCTCGGCTCATGCCGAGCCACCAAGAGGTGGCTCGGCCGGCCACCTTGGTGGCTCGGCCACCGAGCCACCTCTTGGTGGCTCGGTGGTGGCCGAGCCACCTTGGTGGCCGCCGAGCCACCAAGGAGGTGGCTCGGCCTCCGAGCCACCATTTGGTGGCTCGGAGGTGGCCGAGCCACCCCAAGGTGGCTCGGCCACCGAGCCACCTAGGTGGCTCGGCCGAGCCACCACTTGGTGGCTCGGCCACCGAGCCACCTTGGTGGCTCGGTGAGCCGCCTCGATGACTTGGTTTCCGAGCCTCTTTTCGGGTGTTCGTCGCGTCGACCGTCATCCGGTTTCACGATTTATCGGTTTATCCGAGCTTTACTGTTGATCTGGACTCTGATTTGGTGTCCGGATCTTGATTTGGCAGTAAATCCGCTTTGTCGTTGATCTGAACTCTGATTTGGAAGTCAGGCTCCCGATTTGGCAGTAAATCCGCCTTGGTGTTTGAGTTCGAATCCATTATATGGTTGAATGACTCGTTGACTCCCCGAATCGTTGGCTTGATTCCGCACGCGAATGGATGCATTCCGTTACTTGCGTGGGATTCGTTAACCTTGTTTCCTCGTTAATCCGCTTTGTTGCGTGTCACTTGGCTTCGGTGTTGTGGACTGACGTTCGTGTTTAGATACTTGTTGCGTGTCACTTGGCTTCGGTGTTGTGGACTGACGTTCGTGTTTAGATACGTCACCCGATGGCTCATTGGTTTGTCGAATCACCGTGCCGAGCTGTATTCAGGGACCCATAGGCAGTTTTATACGCCTACAATACTTTGGCCATAGAGTGCTATACTTTGCCTTATAGTGCTATACTTTGGCCATAAAGTGCTATACTTTCCCATAAAGTGTCATACTTTGCCAAAAGCTTCAAAATTACACGAGGACCCCCCGTCGCGGTGGATGATTGGTCAATAAACACGTATGAGAGATCATCGAGTGTCTGCGTTGCGGTGAAAAAAACTGATTTGGTTTTAGACACTTTGGGTGCAGAATCTCCAGAGAGCATAAGGTGTTATACTTTGCCAATAAGGTGCTATACTTTGGCCATAAAGTGCTATACTTTGTCGTATAGTGCTATACTTTCGCCATAAGGTGCTATACTTTCCCATAAAGTGCTATACTTTCGAAAAAGCTTCAAAATTGCGCGAGGACCCCCCGTCGTGGTGGATGATTGGTCAATAAACACGTATGAGAGGTTATCGAGTGTCTGCGTTGCGGTGAAAAAAACTGATTTGGTTTTAGACACTTAGGGTGCAGAATCTCTAGAGAGCATAAGTTGCTATACTTTTCTAATAAGGTGCTATACTTTGGCCACAAAGTGCAATACTTTACCTTATAGTGCTATACTTTGGCCATAAGGTGCTATACTTTCCCATAACTGCTATACTTTGCCAAATGCTTCAAAATTGCACGAGGACCCCCCGTCGCGGTGGATGATTGGTCAATAAGCACGTATGAGAGGTCATCGAGTGTCTGCGTTGCGGTGAAAAAAACTGATTTGGTTTTAGACAATTTGGGTGTAGAATCTCCAGAGAGCATAAGGTGCTATACTTTGCCAATAATGTGTTATACTTTGGTCATAAAGTGCTATACTTTTTCGTATAGTGCTATACTTTCGCCATAAGGTACTATACTTTCCCATATATTGCTATACTTTGCCAAAAGCTTCAAAATTGCACGAGGACCCCCCGTCGCGGTGGATGATTGGTCAATAAACACGTATGAGAGGTCATCGAGGGTCTGCGTTGCGGTGAAAAAAACTAATTTGGTTTTAGACACTTTGGGTGCAGAATCTCCAGAGAGCATAAGGTGCTATACTTTTCCAATAAGGTGCTATACTTTGGCCGTAAAGTACTATATTTTGCCTTATATTGCTATACTTTGGCCATAAGGTGCTATACTTTCCCATAAAGTGCTATACTTTGCCAAAAGCTTCAAAATTGTGCGAGGACCCCCCGTCGCGGTGGATGATTGGTCAATAAACACGTATGAGAGGTCATCGAGTGTCTGTGTTGCGGTGAAAAAAACTGATTTGGTTTTAGACAATTTGGGTGCAGAATCTCCAGAGAGCATAAGGTGCTATACTTTGCTAATAAGGTGCTATACTTTGGCCATAAAGTGCTATACTTTACCGTATAGTGCTATACTTTGGACATAAGGTGCTATACTTTCCCATAAAGTACTATACTTTGCCAAAAGCTTCTAAATTGCGCAAGGAACCCCCGTCGCGGTGGATGATTGGTCAATAAACACGTATGAGAGGTTATCGAGTGTCTGCGTTACGGTGAAAAAAACTGATTTGGTTTTAGATACTTAGGGTGCAGAATCTCCAGAGAGCATAAGGTGCTATACTTTTCTAATAAGGTGCTATACTTTTGCCATAAAGTGCAATACTTTGCCTTATAGTGATATACTTTGGCCATAAGGTGCTATACTTTCCCATAAAGTGCTATACTTTGCCAAAAGCTTCAAAATTGCACGAGGACCCCCCGTCGCGGTGGATGATTGGTCAATAAACACGTATGAGAGGTCATCGAGTGTCTGCGTTGCGGTGAAAAAAACTGATTTGGTTTTAGACACTTTGGGTATAGAATCTCCAGAGAGCATAAGGTGCTATACTTTGCCAATAATGTGCTATACTTTGGTCATAAAGTGCTATACTTTTCCGTATAGTGCTATACTTTCGCCATAAGGTGCTATACTTTCCCATATAGTGCTATATTTTGCCAAAAGCTTCAAAATTGCGCGAGGACCCCCCGTCGCGGTGGATGATTGGTCAATAAACACGTATGAGAGGTCATTGAGGGTCTGCGTTGCGGTGAAAAAAACTGATTTGGTTTTAGACACTTTGGGTGCAGAATCTCCAGAGAGCATAAGGTGCTATACTTTTCCAATAAGGTGCTATACTTTGGTCGTAAAGTACTATACTTTGCCTTATAGTGCTATACTTTGGCCATAAGGTGCTATACTTTCCCATAAAGTGCTATACTTTGCCAAAAGCTTCAAAATTATGCGAGGACCCCCCGTCGCGGTGGATGATTGGTCAATAAACACATATGATAGGTCATCGAGTGTCTGCGTTGCGGTAAAAAAAACTGATTTGGTTTTAGACACTTTGGGTGCAGAATCTCCAGAGAGCATAAGGTGCTATACTTTGCTAATAAGGTGCTATACTTTGGCCATAAAGTGCTATACTTTACCATATAGTGCTATACTTTGGACATAAGGTGCTATACTTTCCTATAAAGTACTATACTTTGCCAAAAGCTTCTAAATTGCGCAAGGACCCCCCGTCGTGGTGAATGATTGGTCAATAAACACGTATGAGAGGTCATCGAGTGTCTGCGTTGCAGTGAAAAAAACTGATTTGGTTTTAGACACTTTGGGTGCAGAATCTCCAAAGAGCATAAGGTGTTATACTTTGCCAATAAGGTGCTATACTTTGGTCGTAAAGTACTATACTTTGCCGTATAGTGCTATACTTTCGCCATAAGCTGCTATACTTTCCCATAAAGTGCTATACTTTGTAAAAAGGTTCAAAATTGCGCGAGGACCCCCCCCCCCCCCCCTCAATAAACACGTATGAGAGGTCATCGAGTGTCTGCGTTGCGGTGAAAAAAACTGATTTGGTTTTAGACACTTTGGGTGCAGAATCTCCATAGAGCATAAGGTGCTATACTTTGCCAATAAGGTGCTATACTTTGGCCATAAAGTGCTATACTTTGCCGTATAGTGCTATACTTTCGCCATAAGGTGCTATACTTTCCCATAAAATGCTATACTTTGCCAAAAGCTTCAAAATTGCGTGAGGACCCCCCGTCGCGGTGGATGATTGGTCAATAAACACGTATGAGAGGTCATCGAGTGTATGTTGCCAAAAAAAATAAGTTCTATACTTTGCCGTATAAAGTATCATCATTTTTTTTCACCGCAACGCAAACACTCGATGACCTTTCATACGTGTTTATTGACCAATCATCCACCGCGACGCAAATACTTGATATGATAACATCAAAGGTTTTGAGTAATGTATAACAACCAGATATAACAATAAAACTAACTGAAATAACATTAAAACTAACTGAAGTAGTTACCCAAAATTTACAATGATCAAAATAGTTTGTTTTTTTATCTTCACCACCAAAACATAATCAACCTATAATAAGTCCATGAAGATCACAATCAAACTGATTTGAAAATATTCAAAAGCATGATATTTCAATCAGCTATTGGTTGGTTACATGTTCGTCGATTGTGACCGAACTCCTTACATCGGCTACACTTCAACATTCTAGAAGGATTTAGTCCAGAAGGGATCCGCTTTGTTTTTGGCCTTCCTCTACGAATCGAGGTTAATGGAGGTCTAATCTCCATATTCTCATCCGTTATAATTGGCTTCTCATAATCTGGAATTGGATATATGGGAAAGGAGTAACACTTGCGGTACAGCTCTGTGCTGAAATAGTCAGAAATATATGGATACAATAGCTGATCTTTGTGCCTGATTACAGCGGCCGCATGCTTGCAAGGTAGTCCAAGAACTTGCCATTGGCGACAAGTACACGTGCGGTACTCCAAATTCACTCTAACAGATGGGGAATCATATACTTCATACAGAATCGACGTAGAAGGATTAACATGAAGACAACGTGCACCCTCGTTGATCAGGACAAGATGCTCCTCTACACTAGGAACAAGTGGTGTAGTCCATTTGTTGGATTCCTCATGTCTATCGTAGCTCATTTTCATCATCTTCACCCGGATGTGATCAACCGACTGCGCTCTCGGTAAAAATCGGGCTTCCTTAATCCATGCATTGAAGGACTCAGCTAGATTTAAGGATAACCACCCATACCTGCAGCCATGTTATAGCTATAGGATTATTCAAATGTTATACATGTTCAAACACACATATAAGAGAATTCAATCACAAAGACCAAAAATATGTAAAAATGGTGACATCTTTCCAGGAAAATAACAATTAGCCCAGTTCTGTGGGCTCATATTCAGCATTTCAATGAAAGCAATAGATAACTTATTCTGGAGCTCGTTGCATTCATTATGATAAGCATGCATTGTGTAGGCATAGGCAGCTCTCTTTTTAATTTGAACACAATCATCCCTAAGTGGTGCTGGTAACCTTTTCTTTGACAAGTTGTTCTGTGACACCCCTGGGTTCACACAAGGCTGCAGTCCTAGGTAAAACCAAAAATGTCAAACCTGTCATGCACCACACCGTGCATTAACATGTTTCACCATCACAATTCTATCACTCTAGTAGAGTCAATAACAGGTGTAGGTACAAAAGAAAGTAAAAGATAATACAGAGAATAACTGATGAAATGGTAGAGATCATAATAATATTTCATCATCCAACATACCGAAGTACAAAGTCAATGTCTGAAATGAACGAACTGGAGTTTTCAACAAGCTTCAAATACAATAAGTCTGAGTAAAGGAAATAAGGCATACAGCCTTTACAACATCTATAACATAGTCCTCAAATGTCTAACAAATACTACAGTGGAGCTCCAACATAAAGCATAGCTAGAAAAGATAGCTGAACACTAAAGTGTGTCGCCATCAACCTGCGACTCTCCATATATATATATATATATATATAATTATCCTAAAAATAAACAATGGGTCTTAGTACTTATGAAGTTTTAACACGGGCATAGGTACGTCGAGCGAAATAATCCAAACAAGGAAACCCTCATGTATATACCTTATATCCCAAATTGAAAATCCCTAAGTACCAAACCCGGAGTCTAATACGTGAACAGAAATAAGTAAAAAGGAATACATCCCATCTCAGAACGTAAATGCAGTATCATGTATTGTCCTACATGAATACCATGACATATTCTACATAAGTGTCATATCATACTCTACATATGTGTCATGTCATATTCTTTATAACTGTTATGTCATAACTCATGTGAAATGTCGCATACCGGGTTAAAAAGGATGTCCAATACATGAATTAGATTTAGAGACTTGCCAACACATGAGGGAAATAGGTAACTGTCCAACACGAGGACTGAATGGATTATAGTCCAACACGATGACTTCTATGGATTATAGTCCAACACGAGGACTGTACCACTGAGCAAGTATTACAGATATACATGGTAAGATTTACTTATACAAATTTCATACTCAACTCGGCATGTGATTCTAAACTGGTATTTCAGGCCATCTATCATGCATAGATACTTAGTAAAACTGAGAACCCAATGTTAGATGATCGAGGCGAACACTCGAACGAGTGAAAAGTTCAACAAAAACATACAGGGCAACATAAACTGTGTGGCGGTCGACCGCAGAGACCCCTCTGGTCGACCGCTCGCAGAGCCGAAGCTCACTGGGCTCGAAACTAAGCGGCGGTCGACCGCTGAGGTCATGCCGGTCGACCGCTCAAAGAGCAGAAGCGATTCTGCTGGCAAAGACTCGCGACGGTCGACCGCTGAGTCCGCTGCGGTCGACCGCTCAACAGACAGAACCCCGGTCTGGGTTTCTGTCAGCTTCGAAACTCATTAAAATTTGGGGATATCTATACCCAACTAAAATTTAACATTTCAATAGTGATATATAGCAGTAAACAACAAGTTTAAAAAGTTAAACCTCAATACCAAAAATCCCAAACTTTAATTAATGTGATTCTAAAAGTTTTTAAACAGTAAAAATCGGTTTAAACTCTCATAAAAACGTTTCAGATCAAAATCTCATCAGCTAAAACCATTAGTGAACTTTTAAAGACTGAAAAGTATGGTTTTCACATACTATGCCATAAAGATATACTTTATCTACATAAAATACGATTTAGGCTCAATAAAACCGGATTAAAACTCAAATCTAAGTATAAAAACGAAAAGAGGTGAAGTTGGGCAAGATGTTACTCGCCTACGATGAGAACGAAGCCTTAGATCTGAAGGAAGATGATCCCTCTCGCTGAATCCACCAAAAATCCGCCGAAAAACCCTTCAAAGATCCTCCAAATCACCAAAGAGTGAGAAAGTAGGGTTTGAGGGGAGAGAGGGGGGCTAGGGTTCTGATTTCAGATGAAAAGGGGTTCTCTTGGGTAAATTAGAATATATACTAAACCCCAAACCCGACCCGAAACCCGTTAAGACCCAAAACCCAGCAAACTCTCTGCCTGCTGGGCGGTCGACCGCCGCGATGAAAGCAATAGATGACTTATTCTGGAGCTCGTTGTATTCATTATGATAAGCATGCATTGTGTAGGCATAGGCAGCTCTCTTCATAATTTGAACACAATCATCCCTAAGTGGTGCTGGTAACCTTTTCTTTGACAAGTTGTTCTTATAATTGGCCATTAAATGGCGGATGCAATAACTGTGATATGAACAAGGGAAGCAATTCTTGACGGAATTTTGAAGTCCTTTGTCTCGATCAGAGATTATAACCAGCTCATCATTCGGAGTATATGGATCATCTGAATTGTACAATACGTCACGAATGCATTCAAGGAACCACTCCCAATTGCTCTCATTCTCGGTTCCACAAATGCAAAGAGCGACAGGAAACATTCCTCCATCTCCATTCAAAGCAGTAGCAGCAAGTAGAGTTCCCTTGTACCTAGCAAAAAGATGGGTGCCATCCAAGAATAAAATTGGTCTACATCCCTCGACAAAACCCTTCCAACAAGCATAATATGAGATAAAAAAAATCTAGTAAATCTGCCATCTTCGTGTTCTAGATGGACGATTGATCCTGGGTTAGTTTCTATAACTTTATCCTTGTACCATCTAAGTTGTTCATATGAATGTTTTGCATACCCATATAACTCCTGTTGAGCAAGCTCTTTCCCACACCAAGCTCTTCCATAGGGGATATCAACGCCAAACTCTCTCAGAAGCTTCTTTTTAAGATCAATTGCGCGGTAGGTGGGTTGTTCTTTTAGTATGGATTTCACAATATTTGCAACCCACTTACGAGATGCCCGTGGATGTCCCTTCTCTCCTATGCCTCCTCCGAGACAACTATGTGCACGACCAATTTTCTTCACATAAAACCGTTTGCAGTCTGTACGACGGTTACAATGGACCATCCATTCACAATCAGCACCTTTGCATTTTACTATCAATCTTCTAGGTTCATTTTTCAAATAAGCAAAGTTAAAACCGAGAGCAATTGAGTAATTTCCAAGACTTTGCCTTAGATGTTCAACATCATTAAATTCTTGTCCGACACTTCTAATGGCATGATACCATGAAATAGGAATCTGAATACTAGATCTCTCAACTTCACGTAATGCATTTTGTGAATTGGATGGATTATGCGTCGAGGATGCATGTTGTTCCGAAAGAGATATGGTAGGATTCCTGCAAACATAAAGCAGTTACCTTATAAGACTAGCAATTAGAAACATTAATGAAAATTCTTATCTAGTACTACAGCTAATTGCCGACATATTATATCGTCATAATTTTTCTTTGAACTACAGAGAAATTAAATAAACATGGATTAATTTTGTGAAATATGGACCTCACAATATACAATAAGTTCTTACCTTATGTGAATGGTGTTTTCCTCTAGACCAAATAATGTATCTCGATCTATGTCAACATGCATCTTAACTATCTTCTTCTTGCAACTTAGATGTACGTCGAACATTGTTGACAAATCGACGTCATCATGGACACGTACAAACAATTCTTCTGTATATGAGACTTCATAAGTCAGCTTCACTGGGCTTGAAAAAAAAAAGCAATTCTACTTTGCACCTCGGCCACTAAATTACTGAAAGTCCCATTGATATTCATTGGAATCAAATGATTGTTTCCTCTAAAGTCCATAATTGCACAATATAGCTCTTCTTCCATTACTGAAATTCATAAAAAATAAAATAAGTGGGGAACTAACTAACAATCAAATATTACCAAACAAACACAAGTCTAACATGCATTTTCTTATTGTATACGATATAATTCAACATCGGCATTCAATATGCAATTCTCTATGTTTCTATACAATATAATTCAATATTCATTCCTAAATATTCAAAGACCAGATTTTTCTACATTCTATAGAAATGAGGAACAAATGATTTTTATTTTGTGAATCAAATAAAGAAAATATAGAACAGGTACATTGCTTAGCTTTTCATAGCACTTTTTAAAGAAAGTATAGCACTTTCCAAACTCTCACTACAAATGATGTAATCAACAGAATTAGGGTTTTCTCATGAGAAAATAGTAGTCTCAACATGATAAAGGTTTTCTCATTTAAATGCCTTACTGTTGGCGGTGATGAGAAGAAGAGAGAAAGGGCAAAGTCGGGTTTCTCTATTTTGGGGAAAATATAGTATAGAGATAGAGAGGTATAAGGAACATTGGGTTTAAAATTAAGCCACATGGGTATAATGGGTTTATTGGTGTTCAGTAAAGTAGATGGGTTTTAAAATAATTGGGGGTAAAACTTTAGGTTAAAAGAGGATTTTCCCTAATAATTTACTGATCAACGTGGCGCATCAATCTTGCTCCTTGCTAGCATGCTTGTTATCTGTTAAAAAAAACATTTGAAATATCCTGCAGAATGTGATACCTGTTTTACCTAAGGACTGATTAAAAAAATCCTCTACAATATTAGGAAAAAATTTAAAAGAACATTTACAAAGTATGATTGAATAAGTAGGAACGATCAACCCAGTAAGAAAAACAAAACCCAAGTCAAAAAACGCACAAATAATAGAACTATAAAAAATGCAACTTGCTCGCTCCCAAAAATCGTTTCTAACCGTCTGTGGCAGCAACAAACATCACAAAATATATGATTCTCAGTGAATCGAAGAACACTGCTTAACATTTAGATATTCGCCTATTCTACAACAGTCCACCAATTGACTCTGAATGCCTCGATGCAAAATTAAAAATAATGCATAATATAGCAGGGCTTATTAGTAAGGTTTTCCGCATGATAAATTGTAGCTCATGACAGACGTTTCTTTCACTAAATAAATATTTAAGATAGATAACATGCTTACTCCTTACAGTCCTAAAGACATTCACATTCCATCCCCCACCGTCCAAAAGTCCCCCAAACTAAAGAGTACAAGGCCAACATAGAAACACAAATATAAACCCCAACCTAAAACCCTAAAATGCACAGATGCTCGAGAAACGTCCAAATGTATCTCACCTCTGCCCTCAACATTCTATACAATGCTTCATTTGCTGCCCCTCCCACTCACTTGCATTTGGAGGCAGCAGCTCCAAGCCTCTCCAGATTATACAAATCTAGCTTTTTTTTTTTCTCCCAGTGCAATTTTAACCGACATGGCGTTTCTGATATAAATCTTTCAAATGGATCAATGGATGAAACTAGCTTCGCCAACCATTCTGCTTCTTAGCTTCGAAGGCAGCTCCATCATTAAGCATGTCTTGAGCATCTGTCTCCATTCCGAGTTTTGAGAGAGCAAGAGCTTGCAAGTAGAAAGCAGTCGGCCATTCGGGCATACAAACTTGGGCTTGCATTGCATCCCGGAGAGCAAGCTCAGGTTGTCCGTTCATCAAGTATGATAGGCCACGGCGTGCAAAAACAGTCGCAGAAGGAACAGACATCAAGCTCACCAACTGCATGTTTCACTTTTTTCGCATGAGAAAACATAGAAGTTTCAATACATTTGGAGAAGTTGCTTGACAGTACATGACAAACGTACATGGTTAAGGAAAGTTATCGATTTCATCTGTCAATATATTAGTTTACATGTTCTGCTTCTCCAGCATGGGATTTGATTTTACCCTTCAGCAGGGGCGGAGCTAGCTACCCCGCTGGACTTTCTACATAAGTTAGAATTTGGTTGATCATTGAAAATATGTTTTTTTCCTATCTTTTATGTAATAACATAGTTTCATAAAACTACATTTGAATATCGGGGCTAAATTTTTATGTTTTTGGGAATTTTGTTACTTCAAGTTTTCTAATAAATTTATAAAAAAATAAACAATTGAAAAGGTGCTAAAATTTTCTCCTTTGGTACGACATTTTATATGTACTGACTTTTTATATATGGATTCTATCATAAATATCAAATTTGGTTTAAAGCTAGCTTTGTTTTAAATTAAATAAATAAGAGGGCACTTATGTATCTTGGTCACCCTCAACATTAAGTTTCTGGCTCCGCCACTGCTTCAGCTTTAACAACTAAGGTTTTTTTTCCTTTAGTATGTTGCTATAAAATATTTAAATCATCATGGTTTTCTAAGGCATTTAATAGATGGATCTCAGCAGTATATTGCTGTAAAATATTGCAGCTATTGTATAGTACATAGAACACATGAAAAGTCAAAAGGTATGAAAGGCTTTACTCTTAAGTTACTGACATAGAAACAACAACTATAAGATAAAGCATAAACAGTTTGAAAGAAACCATATGATGAAGGAGAAAAACATGGTGTGAATGAAAGATGATACATTACCTTACTGTAGCAGTCAATAGCAGTTTTGAAATCCTTGTCTCTGAATGCAGTATCACCTAACTTCTTTGTAGTCAACATCTCTTGCACTTGTTGTGTCCATTCTTGAAATGAAAGCTTCACATGGTGAACACAGTAGCAGAAATATGAACTTTAATATTTTCATGACCCAATAGAATACAGCAAAGATTGAGATGCAGCAGCAGACTCATAGTAGTGAAATGTTAATCGAAAATTTATGGTTCATTCGCCTCAACATAAGCCACTGTATAGTTATTTCATTTTACATACATAATACCTCACATGGAACCGTCACTAGCACACCTTGCAGTGAATCATTCTATATTTATTCCCAGTCATTACACAAACTATTTTGTGAACATTGGATGGACTGCAGATGTCCATAAAAGCTAACATTTTGTTCGTACATGTCTTAAATACAATCAAGGGCTAATTGCAAATAGAGCTGATGTACTCTCACCCAATTGCGGATTGACCCCCTGTGGTTGTATTGTTTCAGATAGATCCCTGAGTGATTTTTTTACTCTTTTACCCTCAGAGAAAATTGTTTTATTTTGACAAATAGACCTCCTGAGGGTAAGAGTCAAAAAACATTCACCCAGGGGTCTATCTGCAACAATAGATCTACAGGGGGTATATACACAATTGGGCAACTGATGCTGGACACAGTCACTGCCCAGATTTGATTCCGACTGAATGATTTTAGATTTGGATTTGGTTTTGGTTTTAGATAGGTGAGAATTAGTTATTTTGTTTACTTGTTTTGATTTAAATTGTGTTATGATTGAGTTTGTTGGATTATTAAGGTTAATAATGAATTAGTTTTAGAAATAGGATAGGTTTTTGAATTTTTTTAAATAAGAATCCAAACTTTATCAAAGAGGGAGGAGAATTTTGTAGCAGTAGAGTTTATGCTGAATAAAATTGTGTACATGAGATTTTAGAGTGATTCCTCAAGACGTGAAGCCATCATCCATGTTTGATGTCTATGTAATCGTTCCTAATTTGTTTATATCTATAGTTTATCTCGAGCTAAAAAAAGGAGTTATTCAACCGAGTATTTTACCTCGTACAGCTCACCAGAGCATTCTTCACAAAAGATATTCATCCATGTTAGTTCACCTTGAAGTTTTTTTCGGAGAGATTCTCCAGTTAAATTCAATCAAATTCACCTTTTCCGTTCACCGTCAGTTGGTATCAGATCAAGTTCATCTGTCCACGTTATCATGGGTAAATATCCACTTCCTCGGTCACAACAAGATGAATTCAATCCTTTGAAGTTTGACTATTTTTATGGATTTGATGGATATGAGGAAAAATACAAGTGTGAACTATGGATACAAGAACTAGAAGATTTGTTTACTATTTACAATATATCGGATTGGGAAATGTATATATATGGTAAGTGTAGGTTAAGAGGAGAAGATGAAGATTGATAATTTCATATAGTCATCGACCTATATACGTTCGTGGGCATCTAAGAAATTTCTGATTGAAAAGAAGTATTCTAGTTATCCACATAGAACTAGAAAACATTGTTGTTTTTCTTCAAAGGCCAAGACAAAAGTGTCTCAGCCCCAATCAAAAGATTAGGGGTGGCAATTTATGACCCGACCCATCAACCTGATCCGACCCGACCCGTTTATAATGGGTATGATTTGACTTACATGGGTCGGGTCATAAACGGGTCTATCTAAATTTACCCATTTATTAAATAAGTCAATTCGGGTTGACCCGACTGACCCATATAACACAAACACCCACTATGACCCTAACCGCGATTCCTTCTCCCACTACGGCTCCACCATCTGCCTCCTCTACGGGAACAACCAAGTCATGTACATCCCCGCCGACGAGATCGTCGGCGACAGGACGCAGTACATGGCGGCGAGCTTTGTTGTTGAAAAATTCGATAGGAATGTGATGGGAATGTCGTGGAGGTGGAGACGAGAATCGGGTTGAAGGGGAGCGTTAGGGTATTGAAGGTGTTTATGCATCGGGTTCAGGTGGTGGAGGTTTGTAGGGAGGCGATTATGGCGATGAGTGGGTCGATGATGTGGGTTAGATGCTGAGATCTGGTGGTCCAGATCTGATATGATTTGATTTTAGGGGGAGGTTTGTAAAGTGTAAATTTGGTAAATGTTAAGGGGTTGAAAGTGAATTTTTTTATTTTATTTTAACAAATTAGCTACTGGATGGGTTAGTTTAGATTTTTCGGATTTACTGGATATTGTTTGTTCGCGTTGATTTGTCAATTTGGTCTTGAGCATAGAATTGTGCGAAAGTACATTAGACCTCATATTTTTGGAATATTGAGTATGTGTGATCAGTTTCTTGGTAGGAGTGGTTATATTAAACTATGATTAGTTAATTAATGGTGGTTCTTATTTCTAAGGGTTATATAGGTCGGGTCTGGTAACTCGTTTAATAAACGGGTCGTATCACATTGACCCGTTTATTAAATGGGTCGGGTCGGGTCTCCGTTTGCCACCCACAAAAGATTGATTCAAAGCAATGGTGAAAATAACAATAACACATGATGTAATTCTGCACCTCATGTTAAGGATTAAAAAAATGCAAAAAATGTACTACATAACATAGGTTATTTTGTTTATTAATTATTTACATATTAACTATTCATAATAAGAATTATCAAAATTTTTGAGCATACCATCTCAATAGGAACAAAATATTTTATTATTGCTTAATTAAAAAATATAAAAGACAATAATAATAATTTTAAGAATTAGGAACAAAAACCTTAATACAAAAATAAGTTAATAAAAATTATTTAATTTAATACAAGCTACATCGATTTACTAGGAAGTATCACAATCGAATACTCAAATCAAATATATAACCATAAATTTGTAGCTCATTCTAATTACATTTGTTTTAACAGTCATATCAATAATTTCACAATCACATAATGATGTCACCACAACAAGTCACAAAGGCTTAACAAATAATCATTAGTAATTACTTAACTACTTTAATTTTTGAGAAAAGATATACTCTCAAGTCTCTAGAACTTACATTGAAATAACGTAAGTTGTATTGACATAATGCATGTTATATTGAAATAACATAAGTTATATTAAAATAAAGCACATTATATTGTAATGACATAGAGTTATATGTATCTGGGTTTTTTCATAAGGTGAAGCAACATTCAAGGCCAATTTAGGTTACAACGCAACATAACAAGTTATGTAACGGGTTTTTCTAAACAATGATTTAGAGTCCAAGCCTAAACCAGAGCTTGAACCAGAACCAAAATCAAAAAGCCAATTCACTGCTCAAGCAAGAGTTAGAGCCTGAGCCCGAGCCCGAGCATGAGCCTAAGCCTCAAATTCTCATGCATGATCAGAACACCAACTAGTTCGAGCCGCTTCCAGTTCAAGACAATTCGATAATGGACTTTGTTATATTGGATCCTCCACCACCCATTCATTATCATGTTTTGAGAAACTATTGAAGACATTGGAGTCCACTAGTCATAGTTCAAAATAATTCAAGGATTCATCATTTTATCTTCCTTTTAAAACTCGAGGTCGAGCTTACTCCAACAAGGGGAGAATTGATGCAAGACGCAATCACTGTCCAGATTTGATTTGGATTGAAGATAAGAGTTGTTATGATTTCATATTTGGATTTCGTATTGGATAGGGACAATTAGTTATTTTATTTAGTTTTTTAATTTAAACTAGTATAATGCATGTGCTTTGCACATGAGCATATATGTTTTACGTTTTAAATTTCTGTATTGAATACTAAACCTATATGTTAATAAATAAAATTGTATAATAAGATTGCTTAAAAATAAATATATGAATTAATTATTAATGTGTAATTATTGTAATTGAATGTTTTTCTTATAATGGTCGCCTAGTATTAAACTTTTTTTTCAAATAAGTCCCCAAATCTAAAGTTGTTCTTAAATAAAACTATCAATTCTATAACTTTTCTTAAATATGCAACTCCAACTTGAAAGTTGTTAACTCTAAATTAACTAAGTTGTATTAATCTTGCTAGTTTTTGCTTGATGTTCCCTAGATAATTATACTTGATACTTGCAACATATTACAATAGTTACTTCCCATTATAATTATTTAATAAAGTAAATTACACTAAGCCCTTATGAACTTTCAAGATAACACTAATCCCCTAATGACTTTTCTCTTTCAAAGAAGACCCTAATACCTTTCTAAATTTTGTAGATAACTTCTATAAATTAGAACCAAAAAATAGCATAAAATTTTTTTTAAAGTTATTGGGGGTTTGGTGTAATTTATATAAAAGATATTGGGGGCTTTCAACAAAAGTTATTATGAGTTTAGTGTGATTTTGAAAGTTTGTAGGATTTATTTACTGCAAAATGCTAAAAGTTCTGGGGGTTTATTGTAATTTATCTTATTTAATATTACAATTCTTAGTTCAGGTAATACTATTAAAATAATTAAACTATAAATACACTATAAAATATTTGAGCTTTGCTACAGGGACCCAAAATATGGGACCAATAAAGGGGACAAGTGAGGTGCCTCCATCCTATTGGATAATGAGTTGACCATCATTAATGATGGTCAACTCATTTTTCAATAGGAGGTGGACACCTCACTTGTCCCCCCTATTGGTCCCATATTTTAGGTCCTTAAGGAATTTTTCAAAATATTTATCTAATTTAATTTTTTAACTATGCTCTTAACTAATTTATACTATAAATATTTTATTAAATTTTTATTATACCATCATTAACAATTAATAGTATTATTATTAGTATTAAATAATTTTTTTGTAAAAAGTTAGTTCTCAATCATTACCAATTATAGATTATTCAGTATCATGTAATAATCTTTGACAAAATACTCTAAAAATAATACTAAATTATTTATTTAATTTATTTAATAATATAATATTAAATAAATAGTGTAATTCGTAATTTATGTAATATTATAAAATAATTACACTATTTATGCGATTCAAAATTTATTTTGTTTATTTTGATGCTCGCTGAATTATAATATTTCATAATAGTGTTTAGTAATATATTATTCTATTTATACTATTATTTTAATTATTTTATTATAATTAATAAATAATTATTATAATAATTTAATTGGTTACTACTAATAATTGTGTATACTTATTTTATAAAGTATTTTATTTTATTATTGTCAAACAATTAATATTATAATTATTATAGATAATTATAATTATTCAGGAATGTGAGGAGGTGCATAATTAATAAGAGGTTATATTTATTTAATGGAAAATTAATTATCATTACCAAGTATAGATTATTCGGTATCATGTAATAATCTTTGAGAAATTACTCTAAAATAATATTAAATTATTTATTTATTTAATAATATAATACTAAATAAATAGTGTAGTTCGTAATTTATGTGATATTATTAAAATAATTACATTCTTTATGCGATTCAAAATTTATTCTATTTATTTTATTAATTATAGTATAATTTTTAATAATATTTAGTAATATATTATTCTATTTATACTATTATTTTAATTATTTTTATTATAACTAATAAATAATTATTATAATAATTTAACTAGTTGCTACTAATAATTATGTATACTTATTTTATAAATTATTCTATTTTATTATTTTAAAAAATTAATAGTTTTAATATTATTGATAATTATAATTATTTAGAAAGGTGAGGAGATACATAATCAAGAAGAGGTTATATTAATTCAATAAAACATTAGTTAGAGATAATGGCAGATTTAGAATTTATCAAAATTTGAAAGGGCAAAAAAGAAAATTAGAAATTTTAACACCCCAATCCTCTTTTTATAGTATAGTATAGATTGTGTTAAGATTGAGTTTGTTGGATTATTCTATGGTTAAGATTGAAATGGTTTTAGAGATAGGATAAATTTTGATTTTGTTTTAGATAAGAATTCCTAACTATATTACAGAGGGTAGGAGATTCATGTAATGGGCTAGAGTTTAAGATGAATAAAATTTTATTTACGTGAGATTTTGGAGTTATTCCTTAAGGCAAGAAGCCAGCTTCTAGATTAGATGTCTATATGTGAAATCGTTTATCTTATGCCTAAAAAGTAAAAAATAAAACAGAAAATGTATTGTTCACCAGCACCACTGATCACCCAAGCACTGTTCATCGAAGAAGACTCTTCGCTTGGGTTAGTTCACCTTGAAGTTTCTTCGGCGAGATTCTCCAATTAAATTCAAATCAAAGTTTTATCTTTTCCATTCCTTGTTATCAATAGTATAAGGGGACTATACACAAATTAACCCTATAATCAAATGTTTATCATACTGATACAAGTCTCTTTCCTTCTTTCAAATAAACTAAATACAAATAGAAAGCAAGCTTCTATTACAAACTGTAAACCTACAGTTGAAACTCTCTTTTTGACTGTAAGTGCTAAACAATTTCTTTTATCACACTGAACGAAAAAAAAAATTTTGAATTTGGTCAATAGGAGACTATATATTATATACGTAGAAGTTACTAGTTTACTACACTCACCTAAGCAAGGACTCAAAAGTTCCCTTTGGATGTTAAAAGGATCTTTCCCAGAAAATATGAAGACCAATGCTAAGAGAGAAGTATCCCTAATAGATGCTAGAGTCCCTTCTGCATATATCGTCTAGGTCTCATTTCCTAGACAACCTTTTGTAAAAACACAAAAAAATGAGCGTGACTCATGATACCCTCACTAGCATTATGTCACTATTATTAGCCTGTTACAGTCGGTGTTCAAAAACAGGGTTTATTATGTGTGTGCTCCGGGAGTACTTAATGATAACTTGGAGTGTGCACCGATTAATCAAATTATGCAGAATTAAGCATCTTTTTTTAATTTTTAATACATTTATTATTTATCATATGTTACAACATACAAAATTCATGTAGAAAATATACTAAGAAAAAGACCAACAAATATGCAATTGAACAATCAATATAACTAGTTAACTGCTCAAAATTTTAATCCATATATCAAAATTAACTAGATACTCAAGTAGAAGTCACTAAATTGAACGCTAAACTAAAAATAAAAGTTCATAGACTAAAAACAATCATCTACTCTTCCTCATAACGAACGTTAGCATCCAACTCTTCTTCAGAGGAAGCCTCAAAATCATCGGTGTTATCCACCTCATCCAAATCATCTCCTTTCGGCCCTTCATCAATTACGTCCTCAACTGCATAAGGTGCCGTTTTTTCCTGCATAGTAAAAGTATGCAGCTGCTTACTAAAAAATGTGCACAATTATGCAGATGTCCGCATAATAATGTTTTTTCCCTAATCTGTGGGTTCCGACGCACATAGGTATAAGCGGCTGCTTAGTCCGCATTTCAGAACATTGGTAATTGCACAACAACCTAGGAAGACAGAAAGCTAAAATTTCAAAGAAATATTTATTGAAATTAAAAGTGTAAGTTTTGGAAAGAAGATTATGATTTCTATATTTTCTCTAATCAACGTTACATACATATATAATCAAAGACAAGCGATAAAATTAGGAAAGTAATAACTCCAAATATTCACACAGCTAATCCTAAATCAATACAGCTAATACACCTCTGACTTTCTATCTTTAACACTCCTCCTCAAGTTGGAGCGTATATGTCTAACATGCCCAACTTGTTACATATAGTATTAATTGGGGCTTTGCGAAGAGGCTTGGTTAGAATGTCGGCGAGCTGAAGATCTGTCCGAACGTGAATGAGTTGAATACATGGGGGACAAGAGGATGTTCCTATGACAAGATCTCGAATCAGATGACAATCCACCTCAATGTGCTTGGTCCTCTCATGAAAGACCTGATTCTTGGCGATATGCATGGAGGATTGATTGTCACAATGTAGCCTCATCAAACCATCATGGCGAACACCTAGTTCGCTGAGTAAACGCTTCGTCCAAATTAGCTCACAGGATGTGTTTGCCATTGCGCGGTATTCTGACTCCGCACTGGATCGAGATATAACTGTCTGCTTCTTACTCTTCCAGGATATAAGGTTACCACCAAAGAAGACACAGTATCCAGTAGTGGACCTTCGACTAGTAGGACAACCTGCCCAATCGGCATCAGTGAATGCTGCGATCCTACTATGTCCCTGATCAGAATATACGAGTCCTTTACCTGGAGATCCCTTGAGGTATCTAAGGATTCGAATAGCTGCATCCCAGTGTGTAGTGTGCGGGGCTGACATAAATTGGCTCACTACACTAACTGGATAAGCAATGTCCGGTCGAGTAACTGTTAGATAATTTAGCTTCCCGACCAATCTCCGATATCTCTCAGGATCATGTAGGGGTGCTCCGTCATCAGGCATGAGTTTGGTCTCAGGGACCATCGGTGAGTCAACGGGTTTGCATCCAAGCAACCCGCATTCTGAAAGCATATCAAGAACATACTTTCTTTGACAAATAAGGATCTTACCAGGAGACCGTGATACCTCAATGCCAAGAAAGTACTTGAGTTTACCAAGATCTGTAATCTGGAATTGCTCGCTCAAAAACTTCTTCAATGCCGAGATCCCCTCGACATCATCACCGGTGATAATCAGATCATCAACATATGCAACTAGGATGATGGTCTTCTCCTTTAAGTGTCTATAAAAGACTGAGTGGTCATTAGCACTCCTGGTCATGCCAAACTGACCAAGTGCTTGGGAGAGACGCCCAAACCAAGCTCGGGGGGATTGTTTCAGACCGTATAGAGACTTTCGCAAACGACAGACTTTGGAAGCCTCCTCCTGAACAACGAATCCAGGTGGCTGGGTCATGTAAACCTCCTCCTCAAGGATGCCATTGAGAAATGCATTCTTGACATCTAATTGGTGCAGTGGCCAGTGGCGAACAGCAGCTAGAGACATACAGATCCGAACAGATGCCATCTTAGCAACAGGAGAAAACGTCTCATCATAATCAATGCCATAGGCCTGAGAGTACCCTTTAGCAACTAAGCGAGCTTTGAGTCGGTGCAGTGACCCATCAGGATGAACTTTGACCGTGAAGACCCACTTGCAACCGACGGCCTTTTTGCCAGGAGGGAGAGGACAAAGATCCCACGTTTCATTTTTCCAAAGAGCGGACATTTCCTCCTGCATAGCACTAAACCACCCCGGATTGTGCAGAGCCTCTGGCACATTCTTAGGAACATAGTAACTGTCAAGACTAGTAGTAAAGGCACGGTGATATGTGGATAAAGCTGCGTAGGAACAGAAGCGGTCGAGGGGATATCTGGTACTGGGGCAGTTACGTGAGTCTTTACGAAGGGCTATAGGAAGGTCAAGATCGGAGATTTGAGGTGGTGGGATTTGAGCAGGAATCTGTGGACTAGGTGTGGTAGGGTCAGGTGATTGGGTAGGAGATGGTGGGGATTCAGTGGTTGGGGCAGGTTCACCGGGAGATGCACAAGTCTCATGGTCCTGCATGGTCTGGACAGAGTTAGTATTAACAGGGAGATGCTTACCCCTTCGAGTATATACCTGAGTAATAGGAGGCGCAGGAGGTGTTGGTGGCTCGCCACTCTCGAGGATTGAAGAAGAGCCGATGTGAACCTCAGGATATTTCAGAATAGTCATGATAGGTGGAGAATTACTAGATATAGATAATGGACTAGATTCAGAATTTAAGAAAAACGGTACAGACTCCAGAAAAATAACATCAGATGAAACAAAGTACCTTCTAATAGTAGGGCTATAACATCGATAACCTTTTTGAGTTCCAGAATAGCCTACAAAAATACATCGGAGTGACTTGGGATCAAGTTTTGCACGACCCGGTCGATTATCATACACATAACAGGTGCAACCAAAGATCTTGGGTGAAACAGGAAATAAAGGTGCATATGGAAATAGGACATTATAGGGTATTGCACCATCAAGGACAGAGGATGGCATCCGATTTATCAAATAACATGCAGTTAGAACCGCATCAGCCCAGAAACGATGAGGGACATGTCCATGTATCATCATAGTACGAGCCAGCTCAAGTATGTGTCGATTCTTTCTTTCGGCTACTCCATTTTGTTGAGGTGTATAAGCACATGATGATTCATGGATGATACCATTATCAGTCATATATTTCACAAATTCATTTGTAAAATATTCTTTGGCATTGTCACTACGAAGAGTTTTAACAGTGGTGTCGAACTGAGTTTTCACAAAAGAACAAAAAACTGAAAATTTTGCAAAAATTTCTTGTCTAGATTTAATAACAAAAAGCCAAGTTGCACGAGAGAAATCATCCACAAAAGTAACAAAATATCGAAAATCTGACACCGATGTAACTGGACAAGGACCCCATACATCAGAATGCACTAAATCAAAGATACCGTTAGACCGACCAATGACTCTAGGTGGATGGGAAGCACGAACATGCTTTCCCTGGATACAGGACTCACAAACTAATTCTGAAATAGACTGAAATTCAGGACGTATCTTCTTCAACACCTGGAGAGATGGATGCCCCAAGTGATAATGAACCTCCTTAGCACTACTAGTACTCAGGTATGCCACTCGCTGAGGTGAGCTCTCCATGCAATACAGACCTTTGTCCTTATATGCAGTGCCAATCAACCTGTTCGTCCCCAGTTCCTGAAAGGTGCATTTAGTTGGGGTGAAGGTAACGGAGCAATATAACTGTTCTGTTATTTTGCTTACAGACATAAGATTTTCAGGAAAAGAAGGAACATATAAGACAGATGATAAGGGCATGTTTTGGGAAATCTGGGTGGATCCAATTCCTTCTATATTACAGGTAGAACCATTGGCTATTTGGACAGGTGGTTGTGAGGTAGTGGCAAGTCCTGACAGTATACTTTTGTTACCAGTCATGTGGTCAGTAGCGCCTGAATCAACAATCCATGATGATTTTGATGCTATAAAGCAGTTGGAAGTCATACCTGGGTGGGCCAAAGTAGCCCTCGGAGTCTGTGGCTGAGAGGTCATGTCGGCACGAGAGAAGCCCAGCTGCTCAAGTCGCTGAACAAGTGTAGCAACTTCATCTGAATTGGTGCGTTCACTGGGTGATTGATCAACAGTGGCCACCTGAGCACGAGGAGGGTGTGGTGAACCTTTTGGGCGCTTTGGGCAGTCCCACTTCATGTGACCCCACTCCTTGCAATAGCGACACTGCACATTCTTATTGCTACTAGAATCAGAAGTACCCTCAGATCCTTTTCCTCCTTTCACAAATGACTGACCTGTGCTCTTACCTTTGTAAGAGTTTGCCACTAATGCTGAGCTTTCAGTAATAGGAGATGAACCAATCCCATCAGATGGAAACATCTCCCGCAGAAGATGATAGGTAGCAGACAATGATGGTATAGTCGTCTGACCAAGAAGGATTGGTCGTGCTGAGGAGTATCTGGATGACATACCTCCAATAAATGTGAGTGTATTCAGCTGCTCCCATACTGTGGCTGAATCCGCACCGAAGGGAAATAAATCACTCATCTCATCAGATAATTTCTTGAATTTGGTGAAGTACTCGGTCAGAGTTGCATCACCTTGTTCACACCTTGCATGTGCCTGAGAAACTGCGTATGCGTGTGCCATGCTGGTTTTTTTAGAATATGTGGATTGGAGGTGATCCCACATTTTCTTAGTGGTCTTAAAGGTGTGTACAGTGGATAGAATATCCGGTTCCATCGCATTCCATAGAATCATGCGAATAAAGCTATCCTCAGCTTTCCAGTCCTCAGAAGTTTGTGATTCTTCTTTCAGATATTTGCCCTTTCGAAGGGAATCTAACCCAGTCTCAACAAATGTGGACCATTGTTCCCAGTTAGAGCTAGAGAGGTTAACAGGAATTTTCAATTGATGAGTGGAAAATGGTTGAGGAACTGTAGGTACAATTAGAGTGGCAGGCTCTTTATTCGTCCCCATTAAAAATAAATTGTAGACTTAGAGAGAAATTAATGGTATTTGTTCGGCTCCCAGAGAACAAAACCCCAAACAAATCAGATGGATCCGAACCCTTGCTATTAGAGCACTGGATCCGAACTCTTCTCCTTCTCAGTCCCGAAGAAAGAAAGAAAAGAAAAAAAAAGAAAGGGAGGGGTCGGTACCGAAGAAAGAAAGAGAGAGGGGTGCAGAGCGGAGCGGTGCGGAGCAGAGCGATGTGCACTGAACGGCGGAGCAGAGCGGACGCTGCCGTGGATCTGACGAAACCCTAGCTGTCTAGGGCTCAGGAGCCTGAGATGGCTCTGATACCATGTAAGTTTTGGAAAGAAGATTATGATTTCTATATTTTCTCTAATCAACGTTACATACATATATAATCAAAGACAAGCGATAAAATTAGGAAAGTAATAACTCCAAATATTCACACAGCTAATCCTAAATCAATACAGCTAATACACCTCTGACTTTCTATCTTTAACAAAAAGTTGCTAAGGTAAGAGCATGCTTAAACTGGTATAACTTTGTGGCATCAAAAATTAGTGAAATCTTCTTCTCTTTTTTCATAAACATAATCTGAAAAACTTGTCAAACTAAGACAAAATTTTACCAAGATAGTTGTGAGTTGGTCTGCCCTATGTAGTACGGCTACTTACATCATGAATTTATATCATGATAAACAATAACATGAAACTGCTCGTTGTATGATGGTCTTAGATGTCTTATGTTTAGCTTATTAAAATGAGTTGCGTGTTATGCAATGTCTGCACTTGTTCTTATATTTGGAAAGTTTTGATCTTAATGGATGATTTCTTGAATGATTGACCGAGATTAAACAATGTGTATAGATTTAATGCCCCAATAAATAAAACAACCACATTATGTGCATTTCACTCAAACAAATACTCTGTAAGGTGATGAAGCTAAATTATCAGATTGGTATTTAAAATAGACTCTCTTTACCAATAGAATAATTTGAAAAACTCTAGCGACATTTATTTAAAATAGATCATTTTCCTAATAAGACCCTTTTTATTGCCAATGACAAGAATTCCATCGGGAAAATTTTGTCCACCAGTCTGACCTCTAAAAAATATTAAATCTACACCTATAAGTATTCACTTTTTACACACTAATCTTTAATTAACTTAGCAGCTATCTCCTATCCCTTTATTATCTCTAATATTCTTCCATTACCCCTTCATTTTCTCAACAAACCTATCCGCAAACCCTCATCAGTGGTCACTTCCATGATCTTATCTCTCTCCTTTGTAAACATCCCCGAAATAAAATTCATCAAAATCTATCTAACCTCCTAGCATCAGATCAAATTGAACAAAAAAACAATCATCCCAAAAATCTCATCACCTAACTTTTATCTTCTACAAGCTGAAGTACTAAGAAAAAAATCCATCAGACTCTTGTTCAACTCCATCAACACCAAAGAACCCAACTTTAGCCAAGGAGTATTAGGTCACACTGGTTTGAGCTAAGTTTGAAATATAAGAAAAACCAGATCGCCTTTCCTCTCCAACTTCAATCTCCTATTTCCTTCTATTTTTCCCCTAATTTTAGATCTAACTGAAGCTCCAACAAGGAATCAGACCACTGTCATCCCTCGAGCTCCAGCCCCTACTCCATGTACCAATAAACCCAAAATTATTTGATTCTTGATAGATGAAAGAGTTGGAAAAAAATAAAAACAAAGAGAATAATTTAGGTGTATATTTCATAATTTTGAAAGATTAGGCGGTGAAAGAAATTTTCCTGTCGGAATTCTCGCCACCGGTGAGGAAAATGGTCTTATTAGTAAAGAGGGTGTATTTTAAATACTCTAATGTCTTTTTAGATACTCTATGGGTAATAATATGGTCTTTTTTAACTATCTAGTAATTTGTGATGATGATCCAATCCTTTCCCATAAAAAACATCATTAGTTGTGAGAATTAGCCCAAAGTTAACACTTACTCCTGCAAAAATCCCAGAAGAGGCAAAATATCCATAAGTGAAATTCAATGTTACAGAAGACGCTAGGCGGACTAGACGTTTGAGTCAGCGCCTAAACGCATAGGCGTGTATGCGTTTAGCTATTTTTATATTATTTAATTATAATAATTGATAAAAATATGTATTAAATTCATATAAATTTGTAAAAAAAATTAGCTAGCAATCTTAGAATCACAATAAACCATGCATACGTAAATACTAAATAGCCAAAATAATAATTAATAAGGTTATAGAAAGCGCTAGGAGGCCTAGGCGTTGGACCTGACGCCTAGAGCCTAGGAGGTTTTCTTTTCTTATTTATTAATTACAATACTTTATAGTGAATATCAATGTTACAGAAAACTTAGGTGTCGGTCTGGTGTCTAGACGGATTTTTCTTTATTTAAGTGGTGGTCAAGGAAGTTTTATTGAAGGTCGGAGGAGGTAATGCATGTGTTCATATATGAAGGTTAAAGGAGTTTGAAGGAGGTTGGAGGACATTGAGGCTGCAATGCAAAAAATCAGGATCAAGACCTAAAGGGTGCACTCCACATAAGCAGACGGTGCTCTCCTAAACACTCCCAAAATCTAGGTGGACATCCTAGGTACAGCCCAGACGCTAGGCGTGCGCCTAGACGGACTAGGCGGAGGCTTCTTAAAACAGTGGTGAAATTGATTGCCAAGGTTAGTGCTCAAAGGAGTTCATTATATGGGTGAACATTGAAAGACAATCCTGCCATAAATAGAATCTTTTGGATCATTAGGTATAGAGGTCCATCAGCAAAGTTTCTTTTATCACTTCACAATTCTTCATGTCAAATTTAGAAGACAATAAAAAAGATAAAAGCCGGTGGGTAGCACTTGAAGTTACCTCATTTTCTGCACCTTCCTCATCTTTGTAACCAGTCTTAAGCAATATGTCATGCACTGCAGTAAGGTCCATCCTTGCACAAGCCTTTCCAAGTGGAGAGAGCATAGTTGGTAGAACTGCAGGAGTTTTGGACAGGCCCATTAGAACATGTGATGCCACCTGTAATACAAAAAGAGAGGAAAGGCTAATCATAAATAAAATACAAAGTACTAAAAAGTATCATATTTATCTTAAAAGGAAGTACCTCTTTCTGTGTTTGGAGAGGTTCCACAGAGGATAGAAGAAATTTAGAGTTTGGACGATCTCTAGCCTCAAACTGTAGACATTTCGAAGCAAGGTCAATCAACTTAGAAGCATCCTCATTTGCATATTGTCCTTCCAAGGAAGAATCCATCAAAAGCAATATGTTCTTCCCTCTAATCAAATCTAATGCCTGGAATGTGACGCTAATCAACTTGAAGCATTCAAATCATAAAATGAATGTCGACTGTGAATATGGAAGCACCAACAAACAAATCATATATTCCAGAAACATCAGTGTACAAGGATCTTACATATAACGAGCACATGTCTTGCATATGTAGCCAAAGTAGAAATGAAACATGCTAAATGCCAGTGTACCCAATACAAACTAACAACTTCACAATGGAAAATTAGAAATAGAAGTAATAGTAGACTTAGTAGAAAACTTACGAGCTTACAAGGTAGGAGAATTCAACTCTTCAAGAATAAAGCAGCAAGTAACAAGAGAGATCAATTTCCTTAGGCAAAAAAACAATATGAATCCACACACACACAAAAGGACTTTTATAATAAATTACATGACTGTTTTAATGGCATACTGAGAAATCTGCATTTACTCTCTAAACAATTTAGGGTATTCAATTAGTATAAATTACATGACTGTTTTGGCATACTGAGAAATCTGCATTTACTCACTAAACAAGTTAGGGTATCAATTAGTATCCTCACTGGTTAAGCACAATAATTGTCATTAAAGCAAGGAACCAAAAAAAACAAAGACCAAGTTTCTGATCCAAAAATTGATAAAATGTGGCATGATCAAAGGTCAACAAGTTGGGCAATGGTTAATCAAGATATTTAAATTGTCATGTAACTGGATGCTCCAACAAATAGGTGGAATGCTCCAACAAATAGGTGGAATGCTCCAACAAATTGGTAGAAAAACCTAGATATATGTCTGATTCTAGGGACCAGGATATACGTGGGACAAATAGAATGACCCATAAATTAACATGGCTTGCAAATATATTGGAATAATATTGTAAAAAGCTGACAGTCGCATGGTTGCAGCTGCAATCAAACAGCGCTTCTGATGATAACAAATAGCATGATAATGTTTAGCGCTAAACATTAAACATAGATCTTTAGAGCGCTAAACATAGATCTTTAGAGACTAGCTCCTATATGTCAACATAACGGGCCTAAAGTACAGCAATAACATGCTCCATGTACCTTGATAAGAAAGTTTTCTATTTTCTCACAGTTTATTTTACATCTAATATTTACAAATAGGAGTTGTGAATTCACCAGCATATCTGTATGCCCTTAATGATTATCTCCTAGGTCTAATCTCTAACAACTGTACAAATTAAACAGTAAAACGCCGTTATGCTTTATTTCCTGCCAATGCAATATCAAGATAAAACCATTCATAAACTTGGTATAAACTACTGTCATTTCTCTACATGTTTAGATTGATGAGGCAGCAGCAATGTGCGAATGGAAACAATAGAAGACAGCAGAAGCTTATGACAGAATGCCAAGAGAAGAAAATAGATTCATTCAAAGAGATCACTACATGACTTGGAGGGATATGTTTCCCACTTAGAAGATCCAAAAGAACTGTTCCATAACTATAAATTACACTCTCGGGGATGACCCTGCCTGCAAAAAAATAACACCATATCAAATTCAGCAGTCATGAAAATGTTCAAAAATATTCATTTAACGCTACATGAATTTATTAGAAAACAGAAACAATTAATATGAAGTAACTATTCGTTCTTAGAGTCTAAACCTTCACAAGATAAGTAGTTCACAAAGACATACTAGAAGCCATTTCATAGTGCGAAGAATTGGCTGAACCAATTTGAATCTTAGCATGAAAATGGCAAATTCACATGACACTGAAATGAGGATACTTGGCGTTGCTGGAATTGAGGTACAAAATCGACTAGTCTGAGCGGATGGACACCTTAGGCACTCGCCTTAGTGATCTTAGGGGTTATTGGCTAGGGATTGGTGATTAGGCCAAGGATAATTGTCCTATATTATAGGATTCGGATAAGGACTACGATTTTTTGGAAATATTGGACTTTTTGCTAGGATATTTGAGCCTTAGTTGGATTATAGGATTGAATATTGGATGCTCAGACTAAATTTTAATTATATTTAATATTCAATATATTAAATATTAGTTTCATTTAATATTATATATTTTCTATATTTCTTATCTAATATTAATAAAATATTAAATATATATTTGTGACATGCTAAGTGATAATATGTTTAATACTAGATATATTAAATACTAAATATATCAAATGATTAAACAATATTAAATATTAAAAATATTCATTTAAATGTGTTAAATATATTTAATCATGTTAAAAATATTTCAACAAAATTATATTTCATATGAAATATATTTAATTAATATATTAAATTTAATATTTCATATTGAATGTATTTAATATTTGATGGGCTTGCATTGTAAAATTATCAATAAAATAGTCAAAAAATTTCTCACCATATTCAACAAAGTTGATTATTAAATATAACATGTCTAATACTACACATGGAAGATTACACACAAGATGAGGAAATAAATTATCAATTATTTTTACAATGGCCATTGAGGACCTTTCAAAGTTTGATGCATTTATATATATTCCTCGCCACTCAAGCGGATGGGTTCTGGGCCAATAATTAACTTATACATAAACATCAAATAATCTTTTGCCTTTTCTAGCTTGCTTTTGTGAAAGTAATTTAAAAAAACTACCATGAACTATTAGGAATTGGACCAAAAGTATTAGAAATTATATTTTGCTAGACAAAAATATCAAACTTTAAAATCTATAGAAAAATTTCATATACTGCCAGAAAATATCACATATTATCAGAAAAGCACCTGGATGTTTGGTCATTTTGTTCTTAGCATGAGGCCTACCATCCTTATTGGTAATGTTTGCTAGAAACAGCATACAATATTCTTATGTAGATTTGAAAGTTTGCAATATTTTTCTCCAACGTTATCAATAGCGGATAGCATCACGTAGCAGTGAGCCTCGCTAAGACAATTTAGGGCTATTGCGACAAAATAACAGCAAAAAACGCAAAGTCAAACGGTCTAATTTAAATAAGAACAAATATTTAAAAAATAAAAATTAAAAAATCTAAAAATATATGTTTGATGATTTAAAGAGATCCTAAGCATGAAATAGACATGTAACTATCGCATAATATCAAAGAGGACTATAGGAGTCGAAGAGTTGAGCGGTGAGAGGATTGCAATATGAGGAGCTCATGACGACATGCGAAAGGAGGTGTTATGACGGTGCGAGGAGGTGCTGAGGGAGGTGCTGAGGGAGGTGCGGGAGGCGGCAGGATGCAGTGGGAGACGGCGATCTTTTTGGGGGCTAGGGTGTTTTTAGAGTTGGATCACGAGGGGGGTCGAGGGGGGATTCAAGAGGGAGGAAAAAAATCACAATTGGTAATGACTTAAAACATTGGGCCTTGCGGGTGCTAGTAAGGTTTAGTTAAAAAATAAACCAAAAATCGCTTTTAAACAGCAGTCAAAAAGTAAATTTTACCCGCAATCGCTCGCTATTCACCGTTATAACGCGCTTGGAAAGTGCATATTCCGCAATATGTCACTACTATTAGGCGATATCATTGCGGAAAAGCCGCTAATGTTATTAGCGGCGCAATTGCGGCGCTATTTGTAGCTAATTATAATAGTGTTTTTCTCTAATAAAATAGCTGCAAAACCACTAAATAGTTAATGGTTTTTTTCTTTTTTTTGTTTTGGTGAAACTTCCCCATTTGTGACTTAAGTTTACAATTCTATAGCAATTTTGTGTTACTTGACCTTCTCCACTATTCAAATAATGAATAAGGATTTACCATGATCGCATTTTTCATATGATTAAGATGCAGAATCAGTAAGTTGTCTCATAACGTTGTTATACAACTCATATTCTCATAGTTAACCACCTAAGTTGCATGGGTACAAGTGCAGGTGCAGTTACCGGTACGAGACACGAAAAAATCGTAAAAGACAGGGTATGAGGACACAGCTATATAATTTTTTATATACACATATATTATATTTTAGAATTAATAATTTATATAAGAACAACGATGATAATTAAAATTCACATAATAATTCTATGTTTCTTTTATTAGATTATAAACTGGAAAATCACTAGTTTTGGAACTAGATATCCAATTGACCCTTCAAAATCACAATTCGGAAGCTGACATATGTCCAACAAGTTTTAAGAAGTCGATATTAAGTGTAGGATATATGTCAAAAAAATGTATGACAAGTGTTTTAATTAAAAATATGTACATGTATCGTATAATTGAGTATATGCCCGAATAAATGTAATCATATACGCAAGGAGTGTCCAAGGAGTTTGGGTACGGGTATCTGTCGGGTACGTTCTGGTATTGGTACAGCCTCATATAAGTACTCAGGTAACATTGTTAACCACTATACGAAAAATTCGCACGGATCGTGGATCAATAATATACATCAATCAATCTTGATCTATGTTACCTGGGTACTTCTATTCGGAAGTCATACCCCGTACCCGACACGTACCCGTACTAACACATGCCCAAGCTGCTTGGACACTTCTTGAATATATGCGTATGTTAATTTAGGCGTATACTCTCCAAATCTTAACATGGTATCAGAGCTTATCCCTAACCCTAACCCTAATACTAATCCAATTTCCTAAGCCTAACCCTAGACAGCCGCCTCTCTCCAAAACCCTAGCCGTCAAAACCCTGCAGTCGCCTTATCGTCCTTATATTTCTCATCCTCGCCATCGTCATCGCCCTCGTCTTACTCGACAACTCCTCGTCCTCGTCCATCCAATCCACGTCCTCGTTAGTATCAGAGCTTCACTCACCCGACGCGACAACTCCCACCCGACCGCCGCCACCATGAGGCCTTCGCTCGCCGCCGCCATGCCCGCCGCTCGCCGCTTTCTTTTTGTTTTCGGATCTGAATCAGATTTGCGAGTTGTTTTGTAATAAAAAAAACCTTCGGGTTCTTGATTTTTAACCTTCGAGTTTCATGTTAACCTTCGGGTTCTTGCACTTTAACCTTTGGGTTCAAAATTAAACATTCGGGTTTTTGGACTTATTCAGCCTACTGGCTAATTCAAGACTTATTTTCTTGAACTTAGACATACTTTGATTGTTTTTATTTTGGAGTACAACTTGTGGAGGGTATTGTCTTGAACTCTACTCGTCTGTTTCATGATGGCCGGATCTGAAGAACTCAAGAATTCTAGAGTTAACGGTCCAGACGAAAGTTTCGGAGATATTTTCTGGTAGAATCACTGGCCAAAAACTTAATGGAATTAACTATTTCCAGTGGAAGCATGTTATTGAAATCTACGTGACAGGCTCAGGCAAAACTGATCATTTGTTGACAGACCCTCCTACTCCGACACCGGAATCTTGGACATTGGACGATAGTGTCCTATTGCATCAACTTCTTAATACTATAGAGCCTAAAATTCAGGATTTAGTTCTTCATTGTATGACAGTGAAGGAACTTTGGTGTTTTTTACAAGATCTCTAAGAGCGTAGCAGCAATATTAATAGGGCATATAAAGTAATTTAAGAGCTGTTTCGTAAGAAACAGGATGGCAAACTCATGGATAATCATTATGGTGAGTTCAATCGTCTGGCTGAGGAACTTCGTTAAATTTTTCCTATTACTGGGGATGTAAAACAAATGTAAAACCAATGAAACAAACTTATGTACTCACCTATTTGGACAACCTAGATTCTATTTACTATTCTGCTCGACCACAAATCATGGGGAGCTCCGCCATTAGTTCTCTGGCTGAGACTTATCAATTTCTGAAGAACATTGTGCCTGTACAGTTACTCACATCCACTGCGGATCGCTCTGCGCTTGCCACTCAGGGTTGGCAGTCTTATGGACGAGGAAGTCATACTGATGGTCCAGGAAGATGAAGAAACTTTGAAGGGATAGGATGTTACCACACTGGTAATTCTAAAGGCCGAGGTGGTCAACGAGGTGGCTGTGGAGGTTCATCTCAAGGCAGACATGCTCATGACGATGTCTCAGTGAAGACTTGTTACTGTCACCAGCCAGGACATCTCAAATAGTCAAATATAATTGTCCTGAATTAAAAAAGAAGGCTAAGGGTGCTTACATGACTGTTCAGGACAACTTCACTTCATCTGATAGTGAAATTCAACCACAATCACTCTTCCATGATACGGAGTTGCAGCGTCAATTTCAGCAATTTCAATTATTTTAGCGGTACCAAAGTTCACAAACATCGTCTTCCTCTTTATCTGCGACTCTCAAAAATGCATGTACATCTTTATCTTTACTTACATTGTCTTCGTCTCATACTTGGATTATAGATATGTCATTGATCATATGACTGGGAACCAAGATATCATATCCTCTTTCTCTCCTACATCTAATTCAGTTATATTAGTTGATGGTTCACGTATACCTGTTCAGGGTGTCGGCAACACCAATCCTACCCCGAGTCTTCCCCTTTCCTCCGTATTTTATCTTCCTAGTTTTCCTTATAACCTTTTATATGTTAGTAAAATTACTAAATTACTAAAGTGTATTGTGACATTCTTCCCCACACATTGTGTCTTTCAGGATCTGATCACGAGGAAAACGATTAGAACTAGACATGAGCAGGACGGTCATTATAAATTGGACTTGGACGCCAAATATTTAGCTTGTATCGAAAATTCATCAGCTCTACAAGGGCATTCCTTTATTCTCAAGCTTCTAAATCCTCAGTTCAAATCTCTTTCCTCATTAGAGTGTGAGTCGTGTCAACTTGGCAAACATCATCGTGTGTCTTATCCTAATCGAGTCAGTAAGAGGGCTGCTAACCTATTTGATCTTGTTTATTCTGATGTCTGGGGGCTATGTCCAATAACTTCTAAATTAGGATTCCGATACTTTGTCAGTTTTGTGGATGATCACTCTCGTGTTACTTGGATTTATCTTCTTAAGTCTAGGTCTGAAGTCTTTTCTACTTTTAAACTCTTTTATTCTGAAATAGTCAATCAATTCAAGACTTCGATAAAAAAAATCGATCTGATAATGCAAAGGAATATTTGGATGGTAACTTCACTAGTTTTATTAAACAACATGGAATCTTTCATCAGTCTTCTTGTGTTTACACTCAGCAAAATAGAGTTGTTAAACGAAAGAATAGACATCTCATTGATATTGATGGGACCTTGTTATTTCATCGCAGCATTCCCAAAGAATTTTAGGACGAAGCTATCTTAACAGCATGTTACTTGATTAATCGAATGTCCTTTTCTGTTCTGCAAGATAAAATTCTTTTCAAAGTTCTATAGCACAACGATGATCTCTTTCTGCTTCCTCCAAAGATTTTTTGCTCTCTGTGCTTTGTTCATAATCATAGTCCAAATAAATAAAAGTTTGACTCTCGATCTATTAAAGACATTTTTCTTGGCTACTCCCAAAAACATAAAGGTTACAAGTGTTTTTGTCCGTCACTTAATTGTCTTGTGTTATCTACTGATGTAACATTCTTTGAAGGTAAACCCGATCATTCTAGTTCTTCATCTCCATTATCATCGAATGAGTATGACTATTTAATCCTACAAGAGTCATTGGTTAACGGTGGTGGTTCATCCGCTGATAATATTATTTGCGCTACTGGCAAAGACTCAGCTAGGTTTAACGACCCAATTCAAGTTTATCATCGTCGCTCTGCTCCTTCTCGTGTGCCAACGTCGGCCTCAACACCACATCCTCCGTCCGAAGAACCTGAATCAGTAAGTGCAAATTTACCCCCTTCTACGAAAGACCTTCCTGTTGCACTTTGAAAAAGGACACGAACTTGTACTCAACATCTTATTTCTAACTTTGTCTCCTATGATCGCCTATTCTCTACTTTTCGATCTTTTGTTACTTCCCTCGACTCATATTTGGTTCCCAAGAATATGTCAGAAGCCTTGTCTATTCCAGATTAGAACCAAACGATGCAGGATGAAATGAGGACCTTACAGCAGAATAAGACTTGGAATTTGATCCCACTTCCACCACGAAAGCGGCTCGTCGGCTGCAAATGGGTGTACACTGTCAAGTTGAATCTTGATAGAATTTTAGCACACCTGAAAGCCCGACTGGTTGCTAAAAGCTATTCACAGGTGTGTGGCTTGGATTACGTAGATATTTTCTCTCTGGTGGTAAAAATGATATTTGTTCGAATTTTTATTTCGTTGGCAGCGACAAACCACTGGTCACTACATCAGTTGGACATTAAGAATGCATTCCTTAATGATATTCTAGATGAGAAGGTTTACATGGAATAACCACCAGGTTTTGTTGCTCAAGAGGAGAATGCAAAGGTGTGTAGGCTAAAGAAATCATTCTATGGTCTGAAGCAGTCTCCGAGAGCCTAATTTGGACGTTTTGCATCGGTTATTTAGGAATTTGGGCTTTATCGTGCACAAAAAGATCACTCTGTCGTCTAGCGATTTCAGAATGGGAAACGAATTCTGATAGTTCTCTATATGAATGATATTGTAATTACAGGAGATGATGCTTCTGGTATTGACAGTCTGAAAAAATATTTACAAACACATTTTCAAACCAAAGATCTTGGTTCCTTAAAATACTTCCTAGGCATTGAAGTTGCAAAATCAAAAAGGGTATTCTTCTATCACAAAGGAAGTATGTCTTAAAACATGCTCTCAGAAGCCTGAATGTTAGGATGCAGAAACAGTGATTCTCTTACGGATGTGAACTCAAAACTACTACCAGACCAAGGGGAGCTTCTTGAGGATGTTGGGCAGTATAGGAGATTGGTGGGGAAACTAAATTATCTGACAGTGACCAGACCTGACATCACATTCGCAGTTAGTGTTGTGAGTCAGTTCTTATCCGCACCAAATACTCACTTGGATGCAATAATAAAAATTTTGAGGTACTTGAAAAAGGCTCCAGGACGAGGAATTCTCTACTCAGATCAAGGAGACACCAGAGTTGCGGGCTTCTTTGATGCAGATTTAGCTAGATGTCCTTTTGATAGGAGGTCAACTACTGGATATTGTGTCTTTCTCGAAGAAAATCTGGTGTCATAAAAGAGTAAGTAGCAAAGTGTTGTGTCTCGATCTAGTGCAGAATCAGAATCAGAATACAGAGCTATGGCAAATGTAACACTAGAGATAGTTTGAATCAGAGACCTATTGACAGATATTGGCCTCCCTCTAGAATGTCTAATGAGTCTATATGGCGATAATAAAGCAGCAATTCACATTGCTAAGAATCCTGTGTTTCATGAGAGAACCAAGCACATTGAAGTCGACTATCATGTAATCCGTAAGAAGCTCGAGGATAAAATCATCACTGCAAAACATGTATCGACAGTACATCAGTTAGCATACATTCTTACAAAACCACTTGGTCGAACACGGGTTGACTTTATTTGTGACAAGCTGGACATACATGATATATATGCTCCAACTTGAGGGGGAGTGTTAGAAGAGAGTATGAGTATTAGTTTAGTCACACATTACCTGTGAGACTAATTTGTAACTAATCCATCTCTATAAATAATAAAGTATAGAGTGAGTGAAAACTCTCCCAAGAAACTCTTTTCTCACCAAATCTTAACGCTAAAAAATAGGATGATGTCTACTAAAGCTAAATTAAGATTAAGCTTATACAATATTAAGGTATTTTTGGCTATGTGCACATGACATCAAATATAACTAGATCCTAACACGTCGGTCAACAATCAGAACTCTGCATCCATTTCTCTAACACACAATATAATGGCTTCAGAAAGACCGTTACATCATAAAATAATACATCTACAAGAAAAAGACATTACCTAGGAGGCATCTTCTAAGATTTTATGGGTATTTCCTTACATCACAACAATTTTTAAAATAGTTGCATCATACTGTAGCAACATATGCTATGGCAAGATCATGTTGCTTCCAAGTGTAGGAGGAACAAGCATACAACAGTAAGTGTTTTAAGATAAAGAGAAATGATAGAGGCACACTCTCCACCACACCTCCAACCACACCTCCCCTCCTGCTACAGTGCACCGGGCCCACTTGAGATTTAATTTTTAAATCTCAAGTGGGCCCCGGTGCACTGTAGCAGGAGGGGAGGTGTGGTTGAAGGTGTGGTGGAGAGTGTGCCTCTAGTGCCTCTCTAAGATAAAATAGCTGGAGGGTTGTAATGACAATTGGAAAAGTTCGCTGGTGATTGATGTGGCAATTGATGTGGCAGTGGTGGATATATTTGGTCAGTATGCTTGGTCATAGAGAATGGTTAATGAAAATGTTGTTGTATTAAGTTTTTTAGCAGCATGATGGTTGAACATAATTCACCCTGTTATACAAAATCCTGAAATGTTGTATAAACACAATATGATTTAAGTTGCTTACGACATGATTTCATCCAGCATGTTGCAGAAAAAGCTCAAATGCAAAAACAACATGACATTGTTATTAATCTAATACATGTACTCATGTGTGTAATCTACTAATTTATTTTTGGTGGGAAGATCTTAAGCTATTTTTAACATTTATGATATGGATAAAGTGAGACATTCCATTATTGGACTTTCATTTTGAAGTTTTCACATGCCAACATCAGCATTGACAACCCACATCTGATGTTTCCTTGTTCAGAAAAGCTGTATTACATCTTTCACCAGGGATTATTAACTAGTAAATGAGCTATTGCAATTTTAAACGTTAGCTTTAATGACAGTTCATGCTCAAGATAAGGAAATGAAAAAACAAAATTGAATGCAATGAACATTCTAACTAACCTGTCCGCAAGAACTCTGGTGGTGTGTAGGCCAGGTTAGTGCTATAACTTTTTCCATCCCGGCTATTTTTCATAAGACCAAAGCTTGATAGACGAGGATCACCATCCTGTTGCATGGGCATGGTCGCTAATTTAAGAAAACTATAAAGTAGCACATATGATAAATCTGAACATAATTTTGAACAATCATTACCACGAATAAAGCATAAAACTGTAATTCAATAAGAGAATTTAATTATAGTACTCAGCATCAGATGTTTGCAAAGTTGAGAAATTATAATTCTTTTATTCATTCCCCAATAGACATTATAGTGCAACATATAAAAAACTTTTGATTCCAAGAATAAAGGGAGCTGCAGATAACCTTCTATTAGCCAAATCATTTAGCCACCCAACTTATAAAGTTAAATATGAATTGCCAGCCCAAGTAGAACTGTGCAATATACAATATCTAGCTAAACTTTAAATGGTATATGGATATTAATACCAAGTCAAAGCCAAAGAGCATAAAATTTCGAAATGAACCCACAAAGAAACCAAATAAACTTTCATCAAATAATGATATCTTAAGATATAGGACTGTTTATTCATTAAAATAGTAAATACTAGGATAGCATACACTTAACAGAAAGATTCTATTCCAGAGAAGGCAAGCAGGAGTACTGATCAATATAAGAAAATGATGCGGACTCTCTTAGTGTTTGAAACATCAAACCATACACGCATAGGAGAAAGAAAACCATGGTCAATAGCATAGCTGTCCATTACACCCAAAAGATTCAACTTACCCGCCTAATGGTAGAATTAAAAACAGCATTAACTTGTTAACTTCACCTGTCTTGGGATAAATTCATCAACCCATCATTACTGTTGGTTTTATCCATTGAATCCCCATTATGTAGTTCCCTAACGTGCCGTTTCCAATCCCATTGATGTCTCCTTGACCCATTACCAAATCAGGAAGAACTTCGGATAGGGGAGAAGTATAATCATAGGAAATGGCAGTAACCCTTTAGAAGAATGATGCTTCCATTAAGCTAACCAGTTGGTTGCTGGCCTTCAATTTGACTCTGGGATTTCAACACAGTTGTTTAGTCATCTCCATTTAACTAGTTCATACCTAGTGTAAGCTTCTGGAGTGTTAACCATTATGTTTCCTAACCAAAAGAAAACATTTGGGTTGCTACTTTTGAAGTTTGCTCCAAAAAGACAAATTCAATCTAGTTACAATTAAATTGCTGAGCTAGGTTACTCAGACACAGCATCTTGGATGCCCTGCATGTCCGACACGAACCAGGTTACTCGGACACGGCGTTTTGGATGCAGTGCCTGTGTCCAACACATGTCGGACATGGATTCTCCGCGGACACGCCATGAATACATGTGGTTGAAAGGAAAACCCGATTTTCCTATTATTTATACCCTAAACTAGTTTTTGTGGTAATATTGGGTTCAAAACCAATCGGTTTTTTAACCCGAAAATTGAAACTTATTACTTAAATATTTGAAAAATATCCCATGCGATCAAAACTAAACTTTTGTTCTTAAACTTTATTCTTAGTTTGATTTAACTTGATTCTTAGTTGTTATATAGGTAATAGAAAGAATCATACAAATATATACAAATATTATAGGTATTTTAATTCAATATTTGATCTGATGTGTGTGTATCCATGTTCCCAGATCTTGCAATTTAAAAATTAAAATTTGTCGTGTACCATGTCTGTGTCCGCACCCGTATCCGTGTTACGTAGCTGCTAATTATAGCAAGAAGAAAATTGTGGATGGCATGGCAGATTTTATGGATATGGAGAATATTACTTTTGCAGATTTGAGAGATGAAAGCTTCAGACGTCAACTATCTAACACTAAGCAAGGACTTCCCAGGAGATCAGGTACCAATCTAGTATTATTCGCGCTCAGAAACACCTAATTATGGAGTTTAAGCAGACCTAATTATGGAATACGGGTATCCATTTAGTATTTACTCACTCAAATACACCCAATATATGGAGCTCAAACAGTAGATCTCCTTCAAATCCGCATATGTTTTTTATTATAGTGCAACTATTACACCAGGCACCCTTCTTAGCACGCAATCTATTAGAACTATTCACTTTTAGGGTTGCGGCATACTGATTCAGTAGATTATTGAATGTCTTTGATTCTATGAGCCAGATCCATTCAATGAACTAAGCCTAATCATGATACATAAGAAAAGTATCAATGAAGATAATTTGTTACAAATTAGTGGTGCAATGGAGGTTTGGGACGATAATGGACCTGTCCTATTTATATAGTATGTCTTGTATGTATCTGTATTCTGTCTACGCTATATATTATGAGAGAAGGCAATCACATTTACGCATGTAAAATCAGGGAGTGCTTATAATTGGACCTTAGGAGATATACCACCATTCATTATACTCAGTATATTTGATAAGTGAACTTATTATAAGAGAAGGCAGTCACATTTATGCATGTAATTTTGAAGGTACTTACAATTGGAGTTTGGGAGATATATCACCGCTACTCCTTAGTGTTTGATTAGCGAACCTATACTCCTTCAACTGTTGGCATAGGTCAGAAGATGAACCATATCAATCTTTATATCATTCTTTTCTCAACACTGTATGTTCTTATACTTTGTTAAATTTGTTATCGACAAGGTTTGAATATAAACAAACCAAACAGTCTTCTAGTGGAAACAACACGATCACATGGGAGGCTTCAGCAATTAATCAAAATGGGGTTTCTAACAAAAAGATCAAGCCAGCCTAAAACTTTTTATCAGTCTTTATGCGAATACAACACAGAGCAACTTATTGATTCTCCTAGACGAGAAAGATGATAAAATTTCTTACAAGGAATAGCCATGAGCAACTATAGGCAAACAGGATCATATTACTAAACTAAGCAGAATGCATAAGTTTAACCTCCTAGACAAGCAAACTCGTGAATTTGACTTCCTAACAGAGGAAGACTGAATTTCCCACATGAAGCCCGATAATCTGGCATACCCCTGAAAATAGGTAAGTACATTATGTAACAAAAGGATTTTTACAATTGAATGTAGGGAGACTGAGTTCTTAAGACCATAAGCAGAGCAGCTGCATGGTTTACAACTTGAAATCAACTGAAGCTAGAAAAAAAAGGGGGGACCATCATAAATCTGTTCTAGGACCAAAAAGGTTTACTGTCTAAGGATAACAGAATGCAAATGCAGGACAAGATGTGTTGACATAATGAAAGTCAAATAAACAAGTTTGGGGATTTTCTGAAGTAGTTACCTTCTATTTCTATTCATCTAGCTAGCAAGTTTCGTTAGTGAACATCATCAGAATACAGGTTAGAAAAGAAAATAAAGCCAATTCAAAGGCTGGAAAATGATATAGAATTTTGGTGTACTAACTAATAATCTGCCAAAAAAATCATTAGCAAAGACACAGCAAGCAAACACGTCCACTGCAAATAAGGTCCCACTATGGTCATGATAAAGCATCGTGCCTTACTTAATTTGATTTATACTTCCTTGTTGCCATAACATAGAAAAAAAGAAACTGCTGACAGTAATACTGTAAAATTATAATATAAAATGTAACAGAACTCCATCCATAATGTTGTATTTGCTTTCAACTTAGCAAAGGGATAAAAGTGGAAAATATCAGAATCTCAAGGCAAACGCTAGACATGTTTGTACAATCAGAATTTATAAATAAATAAAAAAGACTGCAAGGGAACAAGGAGTAAAAGTTTTCTAAAACATTTGATACAATAGGAAGATTAGGTACATTCTACATACCTCATCAAAAAGAACCCTGTAAGCATTCAAGTCATGGTAAATTTTGCGATTTTCAAGATTACAATGATCCAGTGCTTGTGCTATGTAGTATGCAACTCTTACTCGCATTTCCCATGGTAAAGGTTGTTTGTCCCCTGTGAACCATACATATCAATTGCAGTGAGATGAGGTCAATTACACGAGCTATTCAGGTTATTAATATTATCGATGACAATGAAATGAAACAGTGAAGTGAAGGAAAGCACAAAACGTAGCCACACAATTATTTTGGACATAAAAATCTTTACATTCTCAACAAATTATTCAGGTCAAATTGTTAAAGAAATGTATATTGATTGAACATAAGTAAATTAAAAAATATATTTGGAAACATAAAATTGAAGACAATTTGAGGAAAGACAAAACTAAAGGGTTTAGATTTTATATTTAAGTTCTTTTCTGTCCATTTTTCTCCTTTAGTTTGCCTGATGTTCTTTTTGGAATTTTCAAGGTTTATGTACTTAAATCTAAAACTTCTTCTCATGGTGGTTATTAGTGATCAAGCCATGACTTTAGACTCCTTCTATCCGTTATGAAGTCCTGAAACTAGCATGGCCCTCAAATCATGCAGCACACATAAACTATTATTTTTGGGCAATAGTGTTAAGTTGCCAACCAAAATGGACCGCTTCATTTTGAGTACCAAATAAGTCAAACCTGTAATCTTCTGTTCTTTGGTCCAAAAATATGCACAGATTATCATTATTTTAACGTATATATTGCAAGTGATGTAGGATTAAGCTGCATTTGTGAACAATTGGCTAGCTTTGATTTGAGATCCCAACTTAATGAGAATCATTCCAAAAGAAAGGGCCAAGAAACATGATCTAATATTGAGTTGCGATGTGAAACCTACAATAAGAGAGAAGAAAGTGACCAAAACTTGAGATACTGAGAATAAGAAAGTGACCAATAATTATTTTTCTAGAATTATTCTCAAACGCAAGTCACAAAATGACAGAATGGATTGAGTCATAATGTGAAGTCACAAAATGAGTTATAAAGATGCAGTCTTTCAAATTCATTCAGGAAGACTATTTCTAGAGCATCTGTAGTTTTAAGTTCAGTGCTCTCTTGCTGAACATTCGTGTAAACAAATTTCTTCATAAATCCCTAATAGTTGATATGAATGTGATGTCATTTGATTGAATATTTGGTTTAAATCCTTTTCTCCAGTTAAGTGCAACTACCTATACAAAATATTATCACCTTATCACTCTATCCAGACTTTTTCTCATTCTGAGGATTTGAAGCATTTCCCGCTGGTGGAGGGGTGAAGGGGGGTACTGGTTAGGACATTTGGGAGGATAATGGCATATTTTTTAGGATTCTACTTTATGATGTTAGTCATTGGGACAATGGAACAAGGATATTACCTTTTGATTTGATTGGTTTGTTGGAACACTAGTGGAACAATTATATTAATTATTATACACCACACTATTATATCCTATGATACTATATTCTAATATATTAAACTAAATATTATATTATTGAAGTATTATATTAAATATATTTTTCATATATTATAGCAATTATATTATATTCTAAATATAGCACACTGTTATAATATAATATAATATAATACTTAATAATATTAATTAGTAATTATATTATAACATGTTATATTTTAGTATAAAGTAAAATAATGTATTATATTATAATAACATACTAAATAAAATACTAAACCAATTGGATAAATTAATTTAGAATTAATTGATAGATAAACATTACATTTTAATAAGATGCCACATCGTCAATTATCCCACATGAATTGTCAAATCAAGCTTCAAATTGTCTCATTATCCCAACTTATCCTACTTCACTTAACTCAAAATATCCCAAAGGGATAAAATTGTTCCATTGGAACAATTATCCCACTTGACCACAAATTATCCCAACCAATAGCCCCACCCCACCCCCACCCCCTCAAAGTTTAAGTGAGCATAAGCACACTTATTAGGACATTAAGGATGCTACACTTCTGAATTAAGTTGTTGATTTGGGCAAGGAAGTGAATGAAGTGCAATAGTCAGGATCATTAGGACATTTACACAGAATCTAGTATTAATGTGGTTGTTGACTCCGAGGCACACTTCATAATACATGGTCAGTCCTACTAGCACAGCGTAATTGTTCAAACATCATGTACTTATAGCTGACAATGTTGAGCAGACAACACATGGTAAGAATAGATGCGTCATTGGTGTCAATAAAAGGTTTAGAGCATCAAAAGGATGACTTTTCTATAGACTCTCCTAGTTACTGAAATAAGAGTTCCGACTCCAGATTAGAATCACCAGGACAATCTGGATCAGGAACAGACTCCTGGTACGTTGAAGAAAGATATGAATATGCGATCTAACCCTAGTAGACAGAGTGTTGACATATACCACAGGTCCTTATCACCATGAAAAGAACACTGATCTATACAGTCACTAACAGAGGGCTTCTAGGTCTCATGCTACGTCCTCCTCTTCATATTTAATTACGTTCAAATGTGAAATCAACTTACAGAGGATTCACCATTCATAGAAGCTAAGAGGCTGATAAGTGGTCATGAATCACAGCTTTCTATCTGTTTTTTTATTTTTTTAAGCAGATGCTCCCTTACAATTATCAAATTTTCTAAGACCTTATATCAGCAATAAAACTTCTGCTTAAAGAAAGAATTCACATTAGGTAAAATAATAAAAATGCATAAACGTACAGTGGAACAGATGCTTTGATAGGGTATCATTTGGCATGTATTCCGCCACAAGAAGCCTCTCATCACCCTCAGCACAGTAACCAATCAAGTTCACCAGTCTCTTGTGCCGTACCTTTCCCACCCTTTCTGCCTCCGTCTACAATAAACACAACCAACTAAAAACATAAATATGTATCTGAATTTCCAAGAAAATAGAAAAAAGAAAGAAGGTGAATTTGATACAAGCTTTCAATGCTAAAGGGAAATAAGGATACTGAAGCTTTAAGAAAATGGGAGCTAGATGTTTACTTAGAATGTCAGAAAACATAATAACAAAATTTTGCTTCGTTTAATGTTATTCCGCATTTTCCTAAAACCCAATACACCAAAGTAAAATTCATTCTCTAATACTTAAAATTAGTATGCTCTCAATACTCTCTCAGGATAGAAACAACCAAAATGAACAATAAATGTTGTTTTAACATCCAAGTCAACAAACGAAATAAAGGGGTTAATTATGAAGAGCTTTTGCAAACCTTTCAGAAAATTTGGAGCTGTGTTTTTCCCCTTTCAACCTCAGCAAATATTTTCATTAGCAAAAATTGAAGAAATTTGGATTGCTTGCTCCTCTTCCCCATTTTCCTAAAACCCCCCACACACAAAAAAAAGTAAATTTATTCCTTAATTTTCCCACTTAAACTCAGCAAAGCTCGACCACTCTCTCTTAACATGCAATCAGTCCTAGCCTAACGTGCCATTATTCTGAACGCTAATAAAACACAATAAAAATGCATTCCCCCAAATTTGCAACTCTCCTCTAAAAATTTGAAAAAAAGAGAATCATAGCAAGGAAATCTCACCGCAAACTGCTGAGCATCAGGCCAAGACTGCCTTGAGAACCTCTTAATCGCAACGATCCTCCCTCCATCAAGCTTCCCTTTATAAACAACATTAGGTGCCTTTTCCCCACTCTCGGAAACGATCAACTCCGAGCTGAACCCTTTAGCCGCTAATCGGAGCTCCGATAACCCGAACTCCTTGAACGCCGGCACTTGATCCTGATCCAAGACCTCGCCATTCTCTAAAAATCCAAAAAAAAAATAAGAAAAAATGGGGGAAAAGAGGGGAAATAGTGGGGAAAGGGAGAGGGGTTTACGTGGATCTGGCTTGTTGTCTTCGGCAGATTCCATGTCGGGGGCATGGACGTTGCTGGTTTTGGATTGTAAGCATCCCATCGCAATCGAAACCCTAGATTTCCATTTTTTTTTCCCCTCAAGGGAGTTGGTGTGAGAGAGTCCGAACAGCGACTGGAGTCAGAGCTAGTGTCTAGTGAAGTAGAGAGTGTGAAGTGAGAAGGGAGAGGGAGCCAATGAAGGCTTGGTTCGTTTTGCTCATTGGTCTTTAGCTTATAGGACAAATTTTCAAAACCAAATCTTTTGGTTTTTTATTTGTAAAAAACGACCTATTTCAGTTTTATTTGTAAAAACCGACCTGGTTTCAGCCTCAGCGCTGAAACCAGGTCGGTTTTTAAAAAAAAGTTTCCGAAACTTCACGGGAGTTGAACTCCCGTGAAGTTTAGCAGTTTTTAATTAAGTTGCTAAACAAAAAAATTTCAAAAACCGACCTGGTTTCAGCGCTGAGGCTGAAACCAGGTCGGTTTTTACAAATATTTTAAAAATGGGTCGTTTTTTACAAATAAAAAATCAAAAAGGTTGGTTTTGAAAATTTATCCGTAGCTTATATTTGTAATTTGTCCTGTAAAAATGTATAATTTACATGTTCGGTCCTTTGAGCCAGCTTTCTTTTGCGAAACCGGAAACCCTAAACTGCTTGAGGTAAGGAATACGTTATTAAGAATTAAAATGGAAAAGCTGCAGCAGAAGGATTGGAAAAGATAAAAAGTAAAAGTAAAAACAAGATGGGTTAAAATGTACCCAAAAGATACGGAGAGCCAAAGAACAATGAAAGTTAAGATTGTAATATAATGTTAATGAAGGGCTAACATGATAAAAGTCAAAAAGTGATTGGTGACTTACACATGTGGGTTGAACAGGTGGGGGGCTCCACGTATGACTGATGCTTCATGGCTGTGGAAAGTGGGTGCGTAAAAAGGTTGTGATATTTTAAGGAGAAGAGGGATGGGATCCGGACTTTTTCAGAACTTTGTAATGACGGAGCTAGGGAGGAAGGAGAAGGAGACTGTGATGACGTGGCACTTCAATTCGGTCGGCGGGTTCAAATGAATTCGGAAAGAAAAATTGCCTCCAAAATCTATTGACCTGGGGTGTTGTTTAGGGGCCATTCGGTTAGCATTTACAATGGGTCTTTATATCAAAACTATCCTTATTTTTATTTAAATTGCTACTTATTACTTTTAAATTTTTTTAAGAAAAAAATGTGTAAAGGCGCCCAAAAAAACAAATTTCATGTGCTCCCCACCCCCTATTAATTATCTTAGGGAGCTTTTGGTAACCGTGGCATTTTTACCGTTTTTGTTTTTTTTCAACAAAAACAAAGAAACGCGTTTAGCAACCGGGACGTTTTTTTGACTTGTCTCTTTACAAAATCTAAAAATTAAACATTTTTCTCAAAACACCAAAAAGATGTTTTGAGATTCCGTTTTTTCATCTAAGCCGCCGCCGCCCGCTCGCCATTCACCGACGGCTCGCCGGCCACCGCATCCGCCTGGCCGCGTCGCTGGCCGCCACTGTCGCCGCCGTCGCCACCTGCCGCCCGCCGCACCGCGCGTCGGCTCCTGCCCGCCGCCACGCCCGAGAGACCACCGACAGCTCCGCCGCCGCCACCTCTCCACCCTCGCCATCAGTCGCCGCCAGTCGGCCACCCGCCACGCGACCGCCGCAATTCGTCCGCCCGCCTGCTGCGCTATATACATGGTCATAGTTTGACCAAAATGGTGTTTTCAAAACACATTTGAAAAAGAAACATCATGGTATGGTATTTTTTACAAAAACAAAATAAAAAACACATTGATTACCAAACACACCCTTATGTATAAGCCCTAAATACTAAGAGTTTTTGTGATTCAACCCTTTTTGACACGGTCCTGATGCGATATAAACATGTACCAAAAATGTTACAAGTGCACAACCGTGTCAAGTTATAGTATAAAGATATCGATCCACGAGGAAGGTGTTTTGTAGGAGAAAATATAAAATCGGTTCTTATGTTGTGTTCGTGACAAATAGCAATGATAAGTGAATGTGATTGTGGAGAGATGAAAATGATTGTGTAAATGAATATATTTGAGAGTGGAAGTGATAATACAAATGTGATCAACAAGGCAAGAAGGAAAAATCAAGAACAAATAAAAATCAAGAATGTAAAGATAGCGGATTCAATTAAAGATATGGGTAATCTAGAATTGAATCCACTTCTTAGAAAAAGGTGATTCCTGATTCCCTAGAGGGTTCTAGCCTAAAGGCGAATCAAACAAAATAAAAATAAACAAAAAGAAAAACTAAACCCAAGAGGGTTCTAGCCTCAAGGTGAATAGTGTAAGAAATTAAAATCTAACTATAAAATAAATTGTAAAATCTAAACTACAAAATAAAATTGCAAGAATTAAATGCAAGAAAATAAATCTATTCTATAAGCATGAAATAAATCTAAGGCAAGAGGGTTCTAGCCTCTTGGCTATTTAAACAAGAAAATAAAATCTAATTACAAGCATGAAAATAAATCTAACTAATAAGCAATAAAAGAGAAATAAAAGAGAAAAAGGAAAGAAATGCAAACCTTCAAATAATTCTCCATCTTCATCTTCATCTTCATCATCCAACAAAGAGAAGAAGAGAAAAATTTAAAGTGGTGAAAAAATTATTTTATTAATTGTAATAAAATGTTACAAATTTGGAAGGCCTTCTCAATTAAGAGTAGCCCTCCTCTCCAAAAGGAGTTACAAAAATTTTTACAACCCTAACCCCTCACTCTCAATCCCTTTTTATAGTAAACATCAGTGAATGAGAGCTCTTAGATCAAACTTGAGCCCCAAGAATGCAATTTCGGCCGTTGATGAAATCTGGATGACTTCGCATCGATACAGGCATCGATGTCCGCATAGATGCTGGCATCGATGCTCCAATAAATATTCTAACTTCACAGTTGGCTTTGTCTCGTCGAGATAGGCGAGTTTCATATATTATATGTTAAATTCCGCCTTCCGGATTAGGAGATATCGTCGTTTCTTTGCGGCCAACTATCTTGAATACATTTTTTTCATATTTAATTTTTTTTTATTTTCTCCGGCATCTACAGGCTACTCGGCTTGATTCTGGGCTTGGGCTTTTTGACTCTTGCTTGTGTTCTTCATTTAATTCATGGATTTTTGTTGAGATAAGAGATCTTGAGCTTTATTCTTCACTAATCTGCAATTAAAGATAAAAACAATTATTAATGGCATATTTATTCATATAAAATAGATAATAAGGGTATAAAATTATAATAAAATATGATTATTAAATACCCACACACCTAAACTTTTGCTAGTCCTCTAGCAAATAAAGAAAAATGAAAGAAGACCTAACTCACTTTCGCAGGAATCGCGGTTGTATTTAGCGCATCCAACAAGCCTTTAAACCCCTAGGTTACCCCAGTAGACTAGTTGTACTCTCGTGAGGGTTTGCAGTAAATATACCCACAAAATTCGATCTACTTGCCAAATTAAAGAAGTCAGTAAATAACTAAATTCACTTGATAACTTTAGACAATCTAATTAATCAGTAAATAACTAAATTCACTTGATAACTTTAGACAATCTAATTAAAGCTAGTTATCACTCAAGAAAACGTTTTTATAAATAACTTGAAGGTAAATTTCCTAGAAAATCTTCTCATTATAGCAATACAAAACCAAGCTAAACTTAGAAAATTAATTTAAAAGTTTTTAAAAGAACATGCTAACTCTTTGTTTTAAAATAATATTCAAGTTGCTTGATCTAAAATATTTTCCAAGACCATATATACAAATATCACTAAAACATTTATTAGTATTTGTGTGTGTGTGTGTGTGTGTGTGTGTGTGTTGTAGGCATATAAAATTGCTTATAGGTCCCCTAACATAGCTCGGCACAAACCGACGAACCAACGAGGCGACGAGATCGACGAATCGCACAGAAGCGACGGAATGCATCCACCTGCGTGCAGAATCAAGCTAATGAGTTGAGGAATCAACGAGTCATCCAACCGAGAGCGGACTCGGACGAATCACGATCGAATCAAGATCAGTTTCGGACTCGAACTCAGAAGCGGATTTACTGCCAAATCAGGAATCCAACTTACTGCCAAATCAGATCAACCAATCAGAGTCTCAATCAACCGAATCACGGACAGAACCGGAAACAACGGAAAACGACTCGAAAAAGTCGGAAAACACCCCCCGCGGGGGCTCGGCCAAAGCCGAGCCACCCCAAGGTGGCTCGGCCTTAGCCGAGCCACCTTGAGGTGGCTCGGTGGCCGAGCCACCTCAAGGTGGCTCGGCCAAGGCCGAGCCACCCTGAGGTGGCTCGGTGGCCGAGCCACCTCGGGGTGGCTCGGCCAAGGCCGAGCCACCTTGGGGTGGCTCGGCCATGAGCCGAGCCACCTCAAGGTGGCTAGGCACAGTGCCGGCCACCCCGAGGTGGCCGACAGTGGCCAGAGGGGGCCGACAATTCCCTTTTTGCAGCCACGGTCCTGAGAGCCTATAAATAGGCCTAGAGATGTTCATTTTCAGAGGTCGAACTTTCAAGAGCCGAAACTCTGCCGGATTGAAGAGTGAACTCGGAGCTTTGAAGACCAGAAGACTTGCACATTCGGATCTGATCCTCGGCGACCATCCACGTCAGAAAAGGCAGGATCTCGAGAGGAAGAAAGAACAGATCTGAGATCTACACGAGACTACACTCCAGATCTAAGCTTGGTCTTAGATCTCGAGATCTGAGCGATTATTCCCTTGGTGGATTAATCCCTCCCGGCTATTATTCCCTTCGTGGAATAATACCCGCATAATCGTGTAGATCCGACCGGATCTAGATCGCGCGGTGGTCCACGGATTAACCCCGGCGTCGGCAAAGAACCCACACAAGCAAGCAACCGCAAAACAGGAGCTTGCGATTTGTTCACAAGAGGAAAGTTGTAATTTTTACTTTTTTTCTTTGATTTAGTTGTAACCGGATCTATAAAAGACCGGATCTTTGTAACCCAAGATGACAATCATATCAATGAAAAAGAAAACAGTTTTCCACGCGAACAATCTGGCGACCACAGTGGGAGCCGACGATCTCGCCAACGAGATCGATGCGTCGCAGCCGCGGATTGCAATCCCGGTCGTGGAGGAGGTCGAGTACGAGTTCGACCAAGCCAAGTTCGAGGAGTACGTGTCCTCGTCCGGCTCTAT